AGCTACAACAACATTCTACTGCCGTGGCTTTGATACGGGATCATTGCTGTTATTATCTACGGACGCTGCAGCTGCTGCTGCTGCTACTGCTGCTGCTGCTTCATACGGCTACTACTGCTGCTGCTGCTGCTCCATACTGCTACTGCGCTACTACTGCTGCTTCATTTACTTGCCATCTCTCTTCACTTGCATCTCTTTTACTGAAACACTGATCAGCTACGACAACATTCTACTGCTGTGGCTTGATACAGGATTATTACTGTAATCTCTAAGGATGCTGCTACTGCTGCTGCTGCTGCTGCCGCGGCTTGATACAGGTTATCGCTGTTATTATCTGAGGTACTGCTGCTGCCGCTGCTGCTACCGCTACTGCTGCAACCCACTCTCTCAGAAGCTTATCCTGTTTCTAATGGATGCTGCCCGGCTGAGTATGCCGGGCCGCGCTGGCCTCGTACCTATGCTCCCAGGGTCGCTTCGGCGGTCATGCTTCATCTCTCTACCTCATCTTCTGATTCTATCAGATGCAGCCGGCCGAGTAGCCGCGCTGAGCCGTCAATCGGACTCCTAATCAAAGGCATCCATACCTGTATTCTTCACTCTTCTGATCGCAGGCTCCCCCATCATGCTGCCCATCCTGCAGCGGCTCTGAGCGGCACTGAACTCTGGCTCGTCTTCCAAGTACATGTCTGCCCTCCTCGCAGCATCTTCCTGCTCGCCTTCTATGGCTTCTCTGCATAAGCGTTTCACTACTGCTCACTCAACCTTCATGCGGTCCGAGACGCGGCTTCCCGACCATCCTACTGTCCTGATTATCTACTCTCCAACCCAAGATTCTAAGCGTAAGGGCGCCTGCAACATCAATGGCCCTCTCCGACATGTCTCTGCCCTTACAGGTCTCCGCTTCTACACGGACGTGCCCCTTCCGTGGGTTTTGGGGGATTCTTCCAGGACCATTGGGTTGCCGGGCCGTGGCCGCTACTTCCACCGGAGCATCTCCTCTGCCCTACACGAGATATTCCCAGTGGTCGTGGCCTGCGCGCCGTGGAATCACACGTGGCAGAGAAAGAGGATCTCTGTCATGCGCGATAATCTCGACGTAGTGGAAGCATCACACAAAGGTCGCTCCTTTCACCCAACATAATGTCCCCTGACCCTTTCAACCGTCATCTCAAACATTCTAAGACCAAGGCGCCTGCAACATAATAATAGCTCGCTCCGACACATCTCTCTCCAGACAACCTTCCCATGACAGCAACCTGGTTCAGAGCTCAACTAAGATCCCTACTGCTCCTCTGCAATTTGTCTCCCCAGCTCCATACAGCCCACTCCTTCAGGATAGGCGCTGCCACGCGCGCGGCCTCGCTGGGGCTCCCCCACCTCTCCAACAGCTGGGGTGCTGGTCCTCTTCGGCTTTCTCCGCCTACATCAGCCCAGACGCGTCCGCCATCCTGGCTGCACAACGCCTACTGGCTTCCTCGCAAGCTCCCAGCAAAGCAATACGAAGCAAAGTAAGTGAAGCAATAAGATTCTGGTGGCGGCACGCACTTCTCAAACACTCTCCGCTGCCGCAGCGTCTGACGGAACGTGATGCGAACGCTCACGTTCCCAGCGCGCAAAAATAACCCGCGATGCATTACACTCGCCTCCGCTCTCGGAAAGGAGATCTCAACGGACCGTTATTTTTCACCCCCGATCACCTCCCAACGTCATCCAACGGGTTCAGAGCCCAACTAAAGTCCGTACTGCTGCTTTGTAACCTGTCTCCCCATCTCTACGCAGCTCACTCCTTCCGGATAGGCGCCGCCAGCAGCCGAGTATCCGCAAGTATTGATCACAGTAGATAGCGGTCACAGTAGATAGCGGTCACAGTAGATAGCGGTCACAGTAGATAGCGGTCACAGCATATAGCGATAGCGGTCACAGCATATAGCGATAGCGGTCACAGCATATAGCGATAGCGGTCACAGCATATAGCGATAGCGGTCACAGCATATAGCGATAGCGGTCACAGCATATAGCAAAAAATGGTTAGCAGCATTGCGCTGGCGGTCACAGCATAGCGATAGCGGTCACAGCATAGCGATAGCGGTCACAGCATATAGCGATAGCGGTCACAGCATATAGCGATAGCGGTCACAGCATATAGCGATAGCGGTCACAGCATATAGCGATAGCGGTCACAGCATAGCGATAGCGGTCACAGCATAGCGATAGCGGTCACAGAATAGAGTAGTCACGACGTCTGTCCCCTCCAAACCAGGCTTCGAAAAACTCCATCAACACGCAGCCTTTTTGGGGATTGTGCGCGCTCATCGCAGGAGCCTTTCCGATCCGAAGGCCGCACCGGGACCTAGGGCGCCAAACCTCCTTTCATAAAATACTCAACTTCCTGTTTCTCGTCTCTCCAAATTGAAATGCAGCCAGCGAAAGTTCAATTTGGTAGACGTTAACCAAATTTACCCCCTCCAGGCCGGCTCTCATCCCCAGCCTATCACTCAGCAGACGCCCCCTTCCAATCATCTGTACCGACTCGCAGCCGCATAAAAAACGGAGCAACGCCCACTACCGGCCTCCTGAAGCCTCGCAACCACCGCCTCCCCTCCTCCTCCTCTTCACCCTGCCTCCAACCTGCCTTCAATTTTCTTCCCGCTGCCAAATGCCGCCACCAGTGCCTAGGTCCCGGGGGATTGTGCGCGCTCATCGCAGGAGCCTTTCCGATCCGAAGGCCGCACCGGGACCTAGGGCGCCAAACCTCCTTTCATAAAATACTCAACTTCCTGTTTCTCGTCTCTCCAAATTGAAATGCCCAAAAATTACAATTGTAAACCGCTTTGTGACTCTGGTCTGTGGAAGGCGCTATATAAACAAGGATTACTTACTACTTACTACTTACACACACACAGAGACACACCCCTACACACACAGAGAGACACACATATACACACACTCACTCAGACACATACACACAAAGACACACGCACACACACAAAGACACACCTACACACACTCACTCAGACACACACACACACACAGAGACAAAAACAGAACACCTCCCAGAGAGGCGTCCAGGAGGCCTCCCCAAACAGATGAGCCGCCTGTACTGGCTCCTCTCCAGGAGGACTCTATTCCGAGCTCCTCCAACACTAATGCTGCTTTCAGACCGGATCATGCGTAGACTTTCAATGCAAAGTCAATGGTGACGCGCGTTCGAGCGTCGAACTGCATGTGCACCTCGGGATACACGCATGAACTGCGCGTTAGAGATCCACAGACTGCGCGGTAGAGACCCACGGACTGCAGGACGCAGGAGATAAATATTCCTGAACGTTTCCTCGGGACGCTCGTGCAGCGACCAATCAGAGAGCCGCAAAGTGGTCACGGGGACATTAGTGGTCTGAGGGAGCAGACTGAACATACTGTAAACAACCAAAACAGGATTAAACCAGGACTAAACCAGGACTAAACCAGGACTAAACCAGGGTTGACAATGGGGGACATAGTGCTTGTGAACATTTGTGTTTTCATGCCCCTGTGACTTTATGCAACTGCTTTGAGCGCGTTTGCCAATGCGGAAGTACCGTTTAATAATAAAATAAACGTATGGCGCACCTCCGTGAACACATACTGCTGTTATATAAAGTCACCTCCGTGAACACATACTGCTGTTATATAAAGTCACCTCCGTGAACACATACTGCTGTTATATAAAGTCACCTCCGTGAACACATACTGCTGTTATATAAAGTCACCTCCGTGAACACATACTACTGTTATATAAAGTCACCTCCGTGAACACATACTGCTGTTATATAAAGTCACCTCCGTGAACACATACTGCTGTTATATAAAGTCACCTCCGTGAACACATACTGCTGTTATATAAAGTCACCTCCGTGAACATATACTACTGTTATATAAAGTCACTTATATAAAGTCTGTGAAGGTCTCAGACACAGAGACGCTGCAAAGTTGCATTATTGGAGAAGAACTTTACACAAAAAGCCGCTAGCTTAATTCCATTAGCATCAAAGTCCGCCCACTACTTCCGCCACTTACGGCGCGCGCCAGGACCTCTGGTCTGAAGACCCCTGCGTCTGAAAACTAGAGAATGTGCGTCTGATGCGCGAGCTGTCAGCGTTCCAGCGTTGGCGGTCTGAAAGCACCTTGAGAGAGAGACCAGACTCTGGGAAGTATCCACGATCTCGTCCTTTCGTTCTTTACCCAGACCCTTTGATCAGCTTAAAGGTACAAGTCCAGACTTAAGGTGTGTTTGTTCTGGTACATTCTCACCGTCTGTTGCCATGGTTACAGGAGACAGTTCCAAAGCAAACTGTGTCTGAAGTCAAAAATGCAGTTGTTTGTTGATTAAAAAAAACTTTATTGACATGAGAGAAAACATCAAACACACAACCTCTGGCTGAACCCGGAGCATGATGCAAAAAACACAGATCAATCGTTCATATTTAATTATATAGCACTGTCGACTGCACTTTAAAATACGCATAGATCTAAAAAAGTAGAAATCTTTAATAACTTTGAATCTAGATCTTTCTTTGTGCAGTGAGATTGTGACACATCCTACAATGTCTTTGATCTTTCCTCCTTTGGCCTCAGCTTCACGTCACGGTACACAACCCTCCTCCACAGCCGACTCCTCTGGGTGTTTCTGTTTCCATGGTGATCCTGTGGAGTCTCGTCCGTCTCTTTAACATATTTTTCTAACTCTGAATTATTCCATGTTTCACTTTACATCATATTCCTCTGTTAAAAGTTCAACATCAAAGCAGATTGGACAAAGCAAAACAAAACCTTCTTTCTCTTTTTAATAACGACATCAACTCGCCGCCTCCACGAGTCACCCACCAACACCCATTAGACTTTCTCGTTGCTTCAGTCTCTCACAGTTAGTCTTAGTCACAGTTTAGTACATTCTGAACCCTCTGCTGATGTCAAAAAGTGCAGAGTCTGTTTGGATCCACCACAAACTACTACACTATTGATCAAACACTAGTGACGACCACCACCAGGAGGTGCGTGGCCTGTAGCAGGAGGGGAGTGGCCTGTAGAAGGAGGGGAGTGGCCTGTAGCAGGAGGGGACTGGCCTGTAGCAGGAGGGGAGTGGCCTGTACCAGGAGGGGCGTGGCCTGCAACAGGTGGGGTGTGGCCTGTAGAATGAGGGGAGTGGCCTGTAGCAGCTGAGGAGAGGCCTGAAACAGGAGGCGAGTGGCCTGTAGCATGATGGGTGTGGCCTGTTTCAAAGGGGGAGTGGCCTGTAGCAGGAGGGTAGTAGCCTGTAGCATGAGGGGTGTGGCCTGTAGCAGGAGGGGAGTGGCCTGTTGCAGGAGAGGAGAGGCCTGTAGCAGGAGGGGTGTGGCCTGTAGCATGAGGGGTGTGGCCTGTAGCATGAGGGGTGTGGCCTGTAGCAGGAGGGGGGTGGCCTGTAGCAGGCGGGGCGTGGCCTGTAGCAAAAGGGAGTGGCCTGTAGCAGGAGAGGAGAGGCCTGTAGCAGGAGGGGTGTGGCCTGTAGCATTAGGGGAGTGGCCTGTAGCAGGAGAGGTGTGGCCTGCAGCAGGAGGGGAGTGGCCTGTAGCAGGAGAGGTGTGGCCTGTAGCATTAGGGGAGTGGCCTGTAGCAGGACAGGTGTGGCCTACATCAGGAGGGGTGTGGCCTGTAGCAGGAGAGGTGTGGCCTACAGCAGGAGGGGAGTGTGGCTTTGAGGGCAGCTCACAGGGCGACAGGGGGGGCTGCAGTAGGAAGATGAGGACAGGGGGCTCACAGGGGGGCTCGTTGGGCCTGCTGGAGGGGGCTCAGTCGAACACCTTGAGGTGGTTGTAGAGGGACTGCACATAAGTGAAGACACACATGGGGTCCGGCTTGTCCCCCATGTTCAGCATGTCCTCCACCTCGATCAGACGCAGACAGTCCGCCTGCTTCCTGAGGACACACACACACACAGACACACACACACACACACACACACACACACACACACACACACACACACACACACACACACACACACACACACACACACACACACACACACACACACACACACACCACCATCTTTAGGACCATACTGTGATTAGCTAGGTCCCATATCACGCTTTCTGACTTTTCTCTGGTTTAAACATCATTACAGCTATTTGCCCAGAAGTCTTTTCATTGATTTACTTTCTTTCTCCAGAGGCTCAATAACAGCCTGATTTACTTCGTTACGTAGCATCACTTTCACACAGAGCCCAGGCTTCAGAAGCCCCGCCTCCAGGAAGTGATTGACAGGAGAGAGAAACCAATCAGTGAGCGTGGGGGGAGGCGGGTTCACAGGGAAATGAGCACGGATCCAAACGTTTGCCAATAGTTGTGTGTATTTTGTGTTGTATGTTGTCAGTTGTGTATCTGCAGGCTCACTCTGCGGTGGAGAAGGCCAGCTGCAGGTTTTGCTTGCGGTTTTCTGGCTTCAGATCGTTGTATTCAAACTCCAGAGGGAAGAAGGAGTGGACCAGGGCACAGAAGGCCATGCCATCGCTCCAGCTCGACGAGAAGTTCTGGATGTCAATGTTCTGCAACACAAACACAAACTGTTTTAAACTGTTATTGATGATATACAGTATTTACTACTTATGAAATAATAATGATGATAATAACAATGTAACACTGATCCAGAAACTATAAATGACTCCTCATCATCACAAGTTTATTCTCTAAAAAAGATTAATCTGCTACATGGAGAGAGAGCCATCAATCTGAGCAAGTATTTTTGGTAACATAAACACACTAACACACGAACACAACAAACACACATCCAACAAATGTATATATACATACAAGTGTACATGAGTATCAGACTGGGACTCGGTTTAAGACGGTTCCACAGGGAACTGTCCTCTGCCCGATCCTTTTCCAATGCAACAGGTTTTATCCAGCGCTTCACACACACACAGACACACAAACACACACACACACACACCCACACACAGACAGACACACACACACAGGGCGGCACGGTGGCTGAGTGGATAGCACTCTCGCCTCTCAGCAAGAAGGTCCTGGGTTCGAATCCCGGTCGGACCAGGGCCTTTCTGAGTGGAGTTTGCATGTTCTCCCCGTGTCTGCGTAGGTTTCCTCCGGGTACTCCGGTTTCCCCTACCACTAAAAATATGTCCAATAGTTCTGGCATGCGCCTCCTGTACTGGCGACCCCGCTCCCATCTCTGTGTGGAGTGAGAGACAAATGCCCCAAAATTAACAATTGTAAACCGCTTTGTGACTCAGATCTGCAGTGAAAAGGCGGTATATAAATACAAACTAACTTACTTACTTACTTACTTACAGACCCGAGGACTAGTGCGTGTCTCACCTGGTATCCAATGGTTTTGGAGCGACACCACTCCAGGAGGATCTGTTTGATGCCACTGGCGCTGGACACACCAAAACTCTGAGACCGCTTCAGTTTGGGCTTACCGTCTTTTGGCCTGTGTACACACATACAGACACACACACATACATACACACACACACACGCACACACACAATCACACAGACACACACACAAACACACAAATCATGCACACAAACACACACACACCACACATTAACTTATTGTGGATTATTAGTGTCATTGTTAGTATCATTATTAGTATCATTATTAGTTTTATAATTGGTAACAGTCCCTTATTCCCTCATGTCTGCGACCTCCATCCACAGACTCCCATTTAACTTTGAATCATTCAGTTACTGTCACTGTCCAGAACATTAAAAACTCGGGAGGTGTCTGGTCAATGCCCTGTGAAGGTTAAAATTAAATTAAATTGAAAATTAGCAGAAGGACCATGGGCTCGGTCAGGGCACAGAAGAGGCTGATAAGTTCAAAGATAAGTTTTGCGAGTTTACGTTGAACAAGAGAATTGTGTTTTTCTGAAACTATTGAAGACTGCAGTATCTGGAGGACAGGAAGTACTTTGTGGAGATTGGAACTGGTTTTATGGCTCTGACCTGTGGAGTCCCTCAGGGGTCGATCCTGGAACATCTTCTGTTCAATATCTACATGCTGCGGTTAATACACAGTAACATTATGTCCTTCACAACTACACAGACGAACTGGCCTCCTGCTGGGACTCTGAGGAGCACAGAGACTGGCCTCTTGCTGGTCCCAGAGTCAGGATTAAATATTAGGAGGCAGCGTTCAGACAGTCTTCCTGAAAATGTGAGACAGACTTCTTCTATGTTCCAATCCAGGATGAAGACAGTTCTGTTTGCCAGTTCTTACATCTGAAGTATTGTATCTTAACTTTTTAATGCGCTGTGATAATTCATAATTTTAATCCTTTGTGTGAATGTAATTTGTGTGATTTTAATATTTTGAACTAAGACTTTACTTTCTATGATTGAATACATTATGGGAGAGAGCAACAACAAACAACGGTTCATTGATTATTTTTGTGATGTAAATCCGCTATTCTGAACAAGATTTCAAACTTTCCAGTGACGCTCACTTGATTGGCTCCGAGTTCATCCTCTCGAACATGGCCCTCTTGACCTGAGCCCCGTTGGACCGAGGGAGAATCTGGGACTTCAGCTCCGGACCACTGCCTCCAGACTTCAGGCTCTTTCTGCAGAGGCATTTGTACATGAGCTACACTTATCGTTCAAAGCTTAAAACCTTCCATACGAGTCCTTTCACTAGTCCATTCTTCACTGCTTTCATCACATACCTGAAATCTCCACCCCCCAGAGGACATAGGTGTGCCCATCACTCAAACCCATGCTGTGTGTGGAGGACTTACTTGGCCAAACTGGGAGAGAATCCAGACTTTATGATGGATTTGGACGGCAGGAGTTTCTCTGTAAGCAGTGACACATGGTTAGAACCAGGAGAACCAGGAGCACCAGGAGAACAGGGCGCACCAGGAGCACTTGGAGCGCTGTACCTGTGGGCTGGGGGAAGCTCACACTCCTCTTCAGGATGGGACTGGGCGTTTTCACGATGGGAGCTGCAGAAAACGCAACAGGATTAGATGCACCTAAATGTGTAAGAACATTTAGGTGCAGAGAAAACTGAGCTCCAGGGGGTTTCCTCCAGGTGCTCCAGTTTCCCCCACCTCCAAAATCATGCAATCTGAATACATTATACCCAGGTTGTTTTCAGGGTTGAAGACCTTTGCCTTTGTCTCTGGGTCATTGTTAACAAAGCACCTAATTTTGGTTTGCTCTTAAGATTATCTGAGTGCTTAGTAATGTTCTCTTCCTTCTATAAGAAGTGATTTTTTTCTTTTTCTTTCTTTGGCTTAGATAATAGTACAGCTTTGGGGAGAGGGGAGTGGATGGATGTTTATGTACATCAGTCACTCTTGCTCTCAGTTGAATGATTGGGGGGTGGGTTTTGGGATTTGGGGACTTAGGTATTTAGTTCCATGTTTGTTATGTTCAACCTGTCTAACTATGTACACACCAGTCATCAATCAATGATGACTGGTGTCATCATTGATTGGATGTTCTGACCTTTGACCTTTAAGATTAACCCAGTAGTTCAGAGACAGCTGAATCCTTCTCAAATCTAATGGCACTTGATTCACTTCAACTTGTAATGCTGCAGTAGAAGTCCTAAAAGCACCTGTGCACAGTCTCAGAGCCTGATCACTTGCGGTCTCCCATGATCCTCATACGTTATGTCCTTATGTCGCACTTTCAACCCTCCCCTCCCTCCACCCTGTTGTTGTCAGTCGCGCAGCCACGAGCAGAGCCCGAGCATGAGCCTGGCGCTATGAAGCTGAGTGATGAAAAATGAAAAAAAAAGACAGCAAACTGTGGGAACAGTCGGGTAAAAAAAACGTGTGGTGACGACCCGACGCTTTGACTGTCTGCAAAGAAAGTTGAATATTGTGTCTGATATGTTTTATTTCTGTTTTTAACGAGTCCCAAAACAACTTAATCAGTCAAGCTCTTTGTTTTAAGGTGGACACCTTCAAAATAAACGTGCTTCCTTTGGTAATTGGAAGTATTTTGTTACATTTGTAATTTAGACATAATACTAACAGTGTTACCATAATGCACTACTAATATTAATATTAAGGTATTATATTAATAGTAGAGGTGATAATAATGAAACTAGTTATTATATACAATATATATATCAAATATATATTTATATATTTTACTAATATTTGTATTTCGTTTATTTTTGTATTTTAACATGTTGCACACTTCTGTCTTTTGCACAAATCTGAGCTATTCTATCCATGCCAAATGTGACATGTCAATTTCTCCTGTGTGAGATCAATAAAGTCTATCTTATATCTTAGCTTATTTTATCGTGTGTGAAAAGTTCAAATGTAATTTTATCTTGTGTTGACTCAATCACTAATCAAGTGTTATATTGCTTGATTAGTGGGAATTATGTATTTGTAATATATATGTGTAATGGAACGTCTGCTTGCTTTAATATTTATGGTTTCTTGAATTAGGTGTAGGGCCCCTATGCTGACTTCTGCTTAGGGCCCCAACAAGACAAGCACCAGATCTGCCAGAGACTATGGTGGATTTCCAGAGAGCAGTGAGCCTTTAGTTGTTATATAAAGCCAAACAACATCATTGTAGTTTCTACAAAACGTGTTCTGGGTTCACCACAGACTTGAGGCTGCAATGTTTGCCGAGTTTCACCATTTACTCCAGGAGCTGCGTACGGATGAGTTTCGCTTTCAGCGGTACTTCCGCACTCCCCACTCGCCCAGTTTGAGTTCCCGCATCACCCGCCTGGAGCTCGCCTTGCTCCCGCCTGAACACCAACTACATGCACTGGATTCCCTCAAAGGAGCGCCTGTCTATCAGTCTGCTGTGTCTGAGCCAGACTCAGCATCAGCCTGTTCTTTTATTAATTAAACAACTCTTACTTCACAGCGTGTGTATATTTATTTTGTCCATTAAGAACGTTACTACTCATACAAATAATATTGCTAATATTAACAAAAATGACAACAAAACAGCAGCAGCAGCAGCTGCAACATGACTTCTTTCCATGACAGATCCGCTGCTGCTGCTTGTTCTCCTCCTCGTCTCCTGATTGGTTGACGCCCGGCATGAAGCTCGAGAAGATCAACTTTTCTCAACTTTTCTCAACTTCGGTGTGCCGAAAAAGCCGCGAGCGTGGCTTTTGACGTGCGCCAAGTGACCTGGGGCCTCTCGCCGCCACCTGACGCGCGTCACCATACATTTTCAATGCAAACTTTTGAAGTCGATGTTGAGTCCGGTGAACACAGCCTATGTGTGTGTGACCAAATGAGGACCTGAAGCAGGGTAAAGGGAAGCGGGTCTGAAAAAGGCCCAGGACTCACTGCGTTTGAAGGGGTACTCTCCGGGCCTGGTGGGGGTGTCCTGCAGAGAGGACAGACAGAAGGACTGTGGGTCAGAGGGGGAGGTGGGGGAGGAAGGGTCAGGGGGGGAGGAGGGGAAGGGGACCGCCTCACACTCTGGACCGGTTTTACTCCCAGCAGACAGTACAACAGAGTGACACTTAGGCTCAGTCACATCTGAGGAAACACACACAAACACATCATCAGTATCACACACACACATACACACACACACACACACACACAGTCCTCGTTCTACAATCTGAAAATCCTGGATCTACAGCCTCAGTCCTGGATCTACAGCCTCAGTCTGTGTGAGCAGATCCATCCCTCAAAGTGGGTTTCTCACTTTCCTCCCACTAGGTGTTTTTCCCTGGCCAATGCCGGGATCTAAGGACAGTGTGATGATCCAGGAGGACTCTCGACATTCAATAAAATGAATGGAGTTCTTTTAACATTTATGGACTTTGGTGATCTGTCTCTGATCTGTGTTGGTGAATCCCTGGTTTTGTTCTCTTAGATAACTACAGTTGTGATTTAGGGCTAAAAAATAAATGCAGTTGAATTGAATAGTTTTTAATCATGATCTGGACTCATCTGTGCAGATACAGACTGGAGTCACCTGGTCTGAAGGCAGCCTCCGCTCTCCTTGGCCGTGGGGACTGGCTACTCATGTGTGTGTGGTCACTTCTGGTCGGGCCGGGCTCCTGGCTAGTCCTGGTCAGTGCGGTGAGGGGGGAGTGGGCCAAGGAATCCACAGCTGAGCCCACCTGGTCCTGGGATGATGGCAGTGTCACCTCCTTCAGAGCACAGGAGCCTGAAGGACACAGAGAGCGGGTGTCATATAAGGGAATTATGGGATATTATATGGAAAAAATGGTTGAAAGCTGTGTCTTGGACCCGTTTTTCAAGCTGTGTTTGTGTGTGCGTGCAGGTGTGTGTTTGCATGTGTGTGTGTGTGTTTGTGTGTATCAATCAATCAATCAATCAAATGTTATTTATAAAGCACTTTTCATACAAACAATGCAACACAAAGTGCTTTACAGTTTCGTTAAAAACAATCCAAAATGCCACCTCAAACCCCACCTCCCCACAGACCCCCCCAAAAACCACATTTATTATTATATAAACACATGTATGTGTGTGTGTGTGTGTGTGTGTGCATGCGGGTGTGCACTTGTTTTCAACTCCTGGTGGGTTCCATAACCTGAGATTCCACTCACGTCATGGGGACTGGTTTTACGTGGTGGGGCCCGAACACCGGACCCCACTGGTCCAAGCTTAATAATCAATGGGTAATGCTTTTCTAACGGTCCTTATGCAGTCTCTGTAAAAATATGGAAAGGACCCCTGGAGGTTTACTTTCCTGAAAAAAGTGTGTTATGTGTCGGAACCCTGGTGGTGGGTTGCGGGATATCAAGGAGGGGCACACTGGGGCAATTTCAGTCCAGCAGGCTGGAGCCAATCATGGAGCAGCACAACAGAGGAAATCAGGTGTCAGGCTAGAAAAAGGTGCAAGTGTGTGGTTCATTAGGCTGCAAGAAATCATGGAGGAGCACACTGAAGCGCACGCTTACAAACCACTGGTAAGTGCTGACTACAAGTCATGACTTCAAATTGTTATATAGAATGATTACAAATTATTTGTTGTTTGTGCAGCTTAGTCAAGAGTCCCTAATTGATGAAGTCGACTCAGATTCTGACGATTTAACTGTCAAGAAGAAACCTGTAAAAAAGTATGGAAAAAGAAAAATCAAAAACACTTTTCTTCAAGACTCGGAAAGTGACGAACCAAAGGCAAATAAGATTGTTATCATGCAGCTGCAAAAGAAGAAAAATGGGGGGCGAGTATACAGCAAGAGACACTTCTGCCTCTACTGTTCAATGTCCTGCCACAAAATGTCCCGTCATTTGACTAGAAAACATGGAAATGAAAGTGACGTAGCCAGAGCATTGGCTCTACCTGTGAAATCTAAAGCACGTAAACTTCAGTTTGATTTGATCAGGAATAGTGGAAACCGTGAGCACAATTTTGAGGTTTTAAAGGCCGGCATTGGAACTTTAGTCCCAGCTAAACAGCCAAATTCCCCAGTTAAATCCAGTGAGTTTTTGCACTGTATAGACTGTGGGGCATTGCTTAAGCGAAAGTCGCTGTGGAGGCATGTGGCCAGGTGCCGGCTTTCACAGAAAGATGCCCAGGCTAAACCAGGTAGAAGTAGGGTCCAGTCCCTCTGCTCCCTAGCCCAGCCTGTACCGGAGGGCATCAGCAAAAAGCTGTGGTCTTTAATTTCGGCAATGCATCAGGATGAGGTCACGGGTGTTGTCAAAGCAGAAAAGGGGATTCTGAGACTCGGAGAGCACCTGTACTTAAAACACGGGCATGATAAGACAAAGCATGATTACATTAGGCAGAAAATGAGAGAAGTCGGTAGGTTAATTAACGAAGCAAAAACCGCAGGGAAACTGAAAACAATTAAGGATTTCTTTATTCCTTCCAACTTTAACCATGTGATTGATGCAGTCAGGTCTGTGGCTGGATATGATGAGGAAACAAATCAATACAAGACTCCATCCTTGGCCCTCAAACTCGGCCATAGCCTCAGAAAGCTAGCAGATATTCTTGAATGTGACTCAAAAATGGAGCATTGTGTTGATGAACTATTTATTAAAAACCTCCAACGAAGCCGGCTGCTTTTTGAGAAGAGGTGGGACGTCTGTGTTTCTTCTGCTGCCCTACAGACCCTCCGGCAAGCCAAGTGGAACACTCCGGACCTGCTCCCTCTGACTGAGGACGTTAGAGCCATGCATGCACATATTGAGGTATGTCGACCTGAATATGTGCAAACCCTAATAAGTGAGCCAACGTCTAAGCATTGGTCTAAACTGGCAGTTTTGACTCTTCGTGAGGTCATCATTTTCAATCGAAGAAGGGAAGGTGAGGTTTCAAAGATGCCACTGACAGCCTTTACCTTAAGAAGTAAGACTGGGATCCATTCTGACATTGCTCTGGGACTGTCCCAACTTGAGAAAAAGCTGTGTCAGCATTTTCAACGCATTGAAATTAAAGGGAAAAGAAGTCGGAAAGTGCCGGTTCTTTTGACTCCTGAAATGATTGCTTCGATGGAGGTGCTGGTGGAGAACAGAAGGGCCTGTTCCATCTCTGACCATAACCCATACTTCTTTTCCCGCCCGGGCGCAGACACCCACATCAGGGGATCAGACTCCCTACGCCAGGTAGCCAAAGAATGTGGTGCGGTGCATCCAGAGATGCTATCCTCAACCAAACTTAGAAAGCACATAGCTACTATGTCTACAGTTCTCAATATGAAAGAGAATGAGATGGACATACTTGCCAACTTCCTCGGCCATGACATTCGCATCCACAGGCAATATTACAGACTACCAGAGGGGACACTGGAGCTGGCCAAAATCAGCAAAGTGTTGATGGCCATGGAGCAGGGAAGAGTGACGGAATTCGAAGGAAAGAGCCTCGACCAGATACAAATTGAGCCTGAAGGTAATTCTTGATATTATTAAAATATGTATGATTTTTTTTCCCCTAAAGGCCACTTGTATTTTTATTTTCTGTGCGACAGGGAGAGCAGTAGAGATCCTCTCACAAACGGACGGGCTAAAAGAAACTTCAAGCGGAGAACCTTCAACCATTCATCCAGATGCACCCCATGGTAGTGGCAGTGCCCCTTCTGGTAAGTGTACCAGGTGGGGGATTACAGCCAGGCTGCTTGGTCCTCACCCTGGGAGTGTATATTGCTAATATATTTTTATTTCTCTCCCTAGAACGTGTAAGAAAGCCATGGTCTGCATCTGAGGTGAAGGCTGTGGAGAAGACCATGACACCTTTCATACAGACTGGAAAGGTCCCTGGGAAGTCTCACTGCCTGGCCTGCATTAATGCCTCACCAGATGACCTTAGACATCGGACATGGAGTGGCATTAAATTCTATGTCAAAAATAGAATCACTGCAATTCGAAAACAAAATCTAAAATAAAATTCCTTTAAAATAGTTGTTTGGTTTCTATTGACTGTTTTGTATTACTTAAAGTCTTGGTAAAAAAAGATTATGTCTATGGGTCCCATTCTGAACGGCCCTGTCAAAGGGACCCACCAGGTAACAAAAACGTGTATGTGTGTGTTTGCATGTGTGTGTGTGTGCGTGCATGTGTGTGTGCGTGCATGTGTGCGTGTGTGCGTGCATGCACGCGTGCAGATGAGAGTGTGTGTGTGTGTATCAGACAGACCTCTCCTGTAGGGGGCACTGTTCTCAGCTGGAGCCTTGTCGTCTGCAGCTGCTTTACTGGTGGATGTGACGGGACGGTGCGGGAGAGGCCCCTCTGCCTCTGCACAACAGGAAACACATGATGCTAAACTACCACACGGCAATACTAGAGAGGACACTGGAGCAGAGGTCCTGGTTCTCTCCTGGAGCAGAGGTCCCTCAGTACCTTTTTGTATTGTGTCTCTTTGTGTCTGTATGTACCTGTGCTCCTGACCCCTTATTGCTGGTCCATTGTGTGTGTCTGTCTACATTCCTGAGTTTCATTGGGATTTTTGATTTGTTTATTACCCTGGACATTTATCCAGTGTCATAAAATTGACAATACTGCTTTTTCGTTCCTCCTTCATTTCACCACATGACAGATAGAGAGACTTTGTGTCTTTGTGTGTGTGTATGTGTGTGTGTGCGTGTGCGTCTGTGTGTGTGTGTGTGTCTTACCTTGTGTGTGTTTGGAGGTCCTGGTCTCTGCAGCTGTGCACCTGGTCTCAGTCCCCGTCACTGGTCTGGCCTCAGTCCTCATCTCTGGTCCGGTCTCAGTCCCCAGCTCTGGACTGGTCTCAGTCCCCAGCTCTGGACTGGTCTTAGCCACCGCAGTGAGAGGGAGGTGAGGTCGGCCCGTCACCTCAGGGTCTTTGTCTGGAACCAGAGCAGACGACATCTTCATTAGTCCATGTTCAGCTTCCCCAGGATCCATGACCACAGCGATTGTAGCTCTTTATGACTGTAGCTCTTTATGACTGTAGCTCTTTATAACTGTAGCTCTTTATAACTGTAGCTCTTTACGACTGTAGCTCTTTACGACTGCAGCTCTTTATGACTGTAGCTCTTTATAACTGTAGCTCTTTACGACTGTAGCTCTTTACGACTGTAGCTCTTCACGACTGTAGCTCTTTATGACTGTAGCTCTTTACGACTGTAGCTCTTTGTGACTGTAGCTCTTTATGACTGTAGCTCTTTACAACTGTAGCTCTTTGTGACTGTAGCTCTTTATGACTGTAGTTCTTTATGACTGTAGCTCTTTATGACTATAGCTCTTTATGACTGTAGCTCTTACACTTATGATTGTAGCTCTTACATTTATGACTGTACCTCTTGCATTTATGACTGTAGCTCTTTATGACTGTAGCTCCTTATGACTGTAGTGCTTTATGACTGTAGCTCTTACAGCTGTAGCTCTTTATGGCTGTAGCTCTTTATGGCTGTAGCTCTTTATGGCTGTAGCTCTTACGACTGTAGCTCTTTATGACTGTAGCTCTTTATGAGTGTAGCTCCCTATGACTGTAGCTCTTTATGACTGTAGTTCTTTATGACTGTAGCTCTTTATGACTGTAGCTCTTCATGACTGTAGCTCTTTCATTTATGATTGTAGCTCTTTATGACTCTAGCTCTTTGACTGTAGCTCATACATTTATGACTGTAGCTCTTTATGACTTTAGCTCTTTAATTTATGATTGTACTGTAGCTCTTTATGACTGTAGCTCTTACGACTGTAGCTCTTTATGAGTGTAGCTCTTTATGTCTGTAGCTCTTAATGACTGTAGCCCTTTATGACTGTAGCTCTTTTTGGCTGTAACTCTTTATGACTGTAGCTCTTTATGACTGTAGCTCTTTCCAACTGTAGCTCTTTCCGACTGTACCTCTTTATGACTGTAGCCCTTACATTTATGACTATAGCTCTTTATGACTGTAGCTCTTGCATTTATGACTGTAGCTCTTACATTTTTTAGTGTAGCTCTTTATGACTGTAGCTCTTACATTTATGACTGTAGCTCTTACATTTTTGAGTGTAGCTCTTTATGACTGTAGCCCTTACATTTTTGAGTGTAGCTCTTTATGACTGTAGCTCTTACATTTATGACTGTAGCTGTTACATTTATGACTGTAGCTCTTTATGACTGTAGCTATTAAGCTGTGTTGGCGACTTTGACAGTTTTCCTCAGAGATAACTAGCGTTGTGATTTAGGGTTATACAAATATAAAATGAATTGACGTCTGCCCGACTGCCTCGCTGATCAGATAATCTCACTTGATAACATTAGCTCTGCTCATTACAACACTGTGAGGAATCTTGGAGTTGATATTGACAAAAAACTTCCTGGTGCTGCTGGTTTGCCTGGGTCGGCTTGGGTCAGGCTGGGTCAGCCTGGGTTGGCTGTGAATGTTACTGCCATGTTCATGGTTCTTCTCCAGACCAGAGCAGAGAGAATTCACAGTCAGAACCAAGCAGATCAAGCAGAAATCCACTGGAAGAATGCTAAATTTCTTTTCTTTTCTTTTTTTGTACCAATAAAGCATTCAGAGCTTCACTCTGAACCAGGTTAGGGTTAGGGTTCCAAACCAAGCAGACTCTGCAGACACCATCGGCCGCACCACCTGCTGCTGTGACCTAAATGATGTATTTATTTGTTTGTGTGGATGGATGTCCTGTGTGCACTGTACCTGTCAGTGTCCCGCTCTGCTGTCCGACTGTGGGGGCGCTCCGCTCTCTCTTCACGTCTGTGTCCTGCAGAGGAAAAGCAGCCTTTCAGTCATTCTAAAAACATAGACGCATCTTGTTTCACTGAGTTCGTGTAATGACCCTGTCAGGTACCTGACTGGGAGCACATTATACCTGACTGGACCACATTATACCTGACTGGGACCACATGATACCTGACTGGACCACATGGTACCTGACTGGGACCACATGATGCCTGACTGGACCACATTATACCAGACTGGGCCACATTATACCTGACTGGGACTCCATTACACCTGACTGGGCCACATTATACCTGACTGGGACTCCATTACACCTGACAGGAACCACATTGTACCTGACTGGGACCAAATTATACCTGACTGGGACCACATGATACCTGACTGGGACCACATTATACCTGACTGGGACCACATTATACCTGACTGGGACCACATGATACCTGACTGGACCACATGGTACCTGACTGGGACCACATGGTACCTGACTGGGACCACATGATACCTGACTGGACCACATGATACCTGACTGGACCACATGGTACCTGACTGGACCACATGATACCTGACTAGACCACATGGTACCTGACTGGACCACATGATACCTGACTGGGACCACATCATGCCTGACTGGACCACATGATACCTGACTGGACCACATTATACCTGACTGGGACCACATGATATCTGACTGGACCACGTGGTACCTGACTGGGACCACATTACACCTGACAGGGACCACATTGTACCTGACTGGGATCACATTGTACCTGACTGGGACCACATTATACCTGACTGGGACCACATTATACCCCACTGGGACCACATTATACCTGACTGGACCAAATTATACCTGACTGGACCAAATTATACCTGACTGGACCAAATTATACCTGACTGGGACCACATTATACCTGACTGGACCACATTATACCTGACTGGGACCACATTATACCTGACTGGGACCACATTATACCTGACTGGGACCACATTATACCTGACTGGGACTACATTATACCTGACTGGGACCACATTACACCTGACTGGGACTCCATTACACCTGACTGGACTCCATTACACCTGACTGGACCACATTATACCTGACTGGGACCCCATTACACCTGACTGGGACCACATTATACCTGACTGGGACCACATTGTACCTGAATGGGACCACATTGTTCCTGACTGGGACCACATGATACCTGACTGGGAGCACATGATACATTATACCTGACTGACGATATATATGAAATTCATACTTTTGGCTGATAATTGTGGGGAAACTGTTATAAATCATACTTACAGCCTTTAACCTTTGGTCTTCCCTTGGGTCAAAATGTCACAGTGACCCAGGGCTGGTCAAGTTAATGGTAATTCTCTCTCTCTCTTACACACACACACACACTCTCTCTCTCTCTCTCTCTTACACACACACACACACACACGCAATCTCTCTCTCTCTTACACACACACACACTCTCTCTCTCTCTTACACACACACAGAGGCTATTTCAGAGTTTGTAATCAGGACCTTTGAGAGTTTCCGCTGCTCTCTGCTCACGTCCCGATATAACCAATGGATGCTTTGGGAATCAGCGATCCCTAAAGATTATCCTGAACCAGAGTCTGGGCTCAGGCGGCTGTCAGGACCACCTAAGCACATGGTCATCTGGGGCCCCTGTTTGGCCCCTGTGTGTTTACAGGACTCCAGGATATGATTCGAAGAACGGATGGAAAAAGTATGTCATAATAACACCAAAAAAGTTCTTGTTAAATGTGGAAACTGTAATATTGACTTACACTGAATCAAACTAAACTCACAGAGGAATTCCTAGACAGTTTTTCTGTGGGTCTGTTTGCACTAGAAACCAGACCCAAGAAGGTCCTGTGTTTGAATCCCGGTCGGAACGGGGCCTTTCTGAGTGGAGTTTGCATGTTCTCCCTGTGTCTACGTAGGTTTCTCCTACCACTAACAACATGGACAATAGGTTTGGCCTCCTGTACTGGTGAACTCACTCCCATCTCTGTGTGGAGCGAGAGACAAAGTGCCTAAAAAGTGCCTAAAAGTGCTTTGTGACTCTGGTCTGTGAAAGGAGCTATATAAATAAAGATTACTTACTTAGAGAGATCATATATAGATCATATCATATTCTGCAACATTTTAGATAAAGCCTGTTTTAGTAAAGGAGGCCAGGTTTAGATTCATCACAGAGCATGTGTGTGAAGAGTGGTTTGGCAAATGGATTGATGTAAATCCAGATTTCCATTTGTTTCTGGACATATTTATGTTTTCATTTTACCTCTGGGAGATGTTCAACACTTTGGAAATCTGTTTTATAGCTTTTTACCTCTGCACAACCTCCTCCAGGAACGTCTGCTGTGTTCTTTGACTTGATGAAGCTCTCTGCTCCCAGTATTCTCCAAACAAACTCTGAGACATTTAACTGAGGTCAGATTCAGAACTACTGGATATTTAGTCAAAATATGATCGTCAGGAAACTTCTGAAGGCGATAAGATGGTTTTATTCAGTGATGTGGTCGCTGTATCAGACTGTTGTGGTGCAGAGGGAGCAGCGTCTGCAGTCAGAGCTGTATCAGACTGTTGTGGTGCAGAGGGAGCAGCGTCTGCAGTCAGAGCTGTATCAGACTGTTGTGGTGCAGAGGGAGCGGCGTCTGCAGTCAGAGCTGTATCAGACCGTTGTGGTGCAGAGGGAGCAGCGTCTGCAGTCAGAGCTGTATCAGACCGTTGTGGTGCAGAGGGAGCAGCGTCTGCAGTCAGAGCTGTATCAGACTGTTGTGGTGCAGAGGGAGCAGCGTCTGCAGTCAGAGCTGTATCAGACTGTTGTGGTGCAGAGGGAGCAGCGTCTGCAGTCAGAGCTGTATCAGACCGTTGTGGTGCAGAGGGAGCAGCGTCTGCAGTCAGAGCTGTATCAGACTGTTGTGGTGCAGAGGGAGCAGCGTCTGCAGTCAGAGCTGGATCAGACTGTTGTGGTGAGTCTCCGTGTGTGTCTCTGTGTGTGTCTCTGTGTGAGTCTCTGTGTGAGTCTCTGTGTGTGTCTCTGTGTGTGTCTCTGTGTGTGTCTCTGAGTGGGACCACATCATGCCTGACTGGACCACATTATACCTGACTGGGACCACATGATATCTGACTGGACCACATGGTACCTGACTGGGACCACATTACACCTGACGGGGACCACATCGTACCTGACTGGGACCACATTGTACCTGACTGGGATCACATTGTACCTGACTGGGACCACATTATACCTGACTGGACCAAATTATACCTGACTGGGACCACATTATACCTGACTGGGACCACATTATACCTGACTGGACCAAATTATACCTGACTGGGACCACATTATACCTGACTGGGACCACATTATACCTGACTGGACCAAATTATACCTGACTGGGACCACATTATACCTGACTGGGACTGTATCAGACTGTTGTGGTGCAGAGGGAGCAGCGTCTGCAGTCAGAGCTGGATCAGACTGTTGTGGTGAGTCTCTGTGTGTGTCTCTGAGTGACAGGATCTCCTGGTGATGAGGTCACTGCATCTGAACGCACCAGCTGCTAGTCCCACTCACACACACACACACAGAGATAGAGAGATAGACACACTCACACACACACACATACACACACTCACACAGAGAGATGGACACACACACACAGAGATAGATAGACACACTCACACACACGCACACACACACACAGAGATAGACACACACAAACACACACACAGACACACACACACACACACACATGGGTAAAAATACATATCAACTTTCCGTCAGGAGGTGGCAGAGGGTCTTGGACTGACTTCTTTCGCTGCAGCAGTATTTTTATCCGTCAGACGTTTGAGGAACACTACGTCACAGAGCACCTCTCCCACAAAATATGGGACAATGTAACACAATCCGAGTCAACACACTTTCCACTCCTACTTTCGTCTGGATTTGTTTCCTCTTTAGTAACTCTCTCTCATCCCTGATATCACCGGGACTAGAACACATCACCGGAACAGGTTCATTTTGTGTTGAGTAAAATTCTTTGTGTGGTTCTTTTGAAAGACAAGTTAGATGATCGACCTTGTTATCATGTCGTCAGAACTGTCTCAGTGACGTCTCATTTATTTAGGATTATTTGTCAGCCGTAGTTACAGTGCCTTGCGAAAGTATTCCCTTGAACCTTTCAACATTTCGCCACATTTCAAGCTTCAAACATAAAAATATACAATTTTAATTTTTTGTCATGAATCAAAAACAAGTCGGACACAAACGTGAAGTGGAATGAAATTTATTGGATAATTTAAACTTTTTTAACAAATAAAAAACTGAAAAGTGGGGCGTGCAATATTATTCGGCCCCTTTACTTTCAGTGCAGCAAACTCACTCCAGAAGTTCAGTGAGGATCTTTGAATGATCCAATGTTGTCCTAAATGACTGATGATGATAAATAGAATGCACCTGTGTGTAATCAAGTCTCCGTATAAATGCACCTGCTCTTTGATAGTCTCAGGGTTCTGTTTAAAGCGCAGAGAGAACCATGAAGACAAAGGAACACACCAGGCAGGTCCGAGATACTGTTGTGGAGAAGTTTAAAACTGGATTTGGATACAAAAAGATTTCCCAAGCTTTAAACATCTCAAGGAGCACTGTGCAAGCAATTATATTGAAATGGAAGGAGTATCAGACCACTGCAAATCTACCAAGACCCGGCCGTCCCTCCAAACTTTCATCTCAAACAAGGAGAAAACTGATCAGAGATGCAGACAAGAGGCCCATGATCACTCTGGATGAACTGCAGATAACTACAGCTGAGGTGGGAGAGTCTGTCCATAGGACAACAATCAGTTGTGCACTGCACAAATCTGGCCTTTATGGAAGAGTGGCAAGAAGAAAGCCATTTCTCAAAGATATCCATAAAAAGTCTTGTTTAAAGTTTGCCACAAGCCACATGGGAGACACACCAAACATGTGGAAGAAGGTGCTCTGGTCAGATGAAACCAAAATCGAACTTTTTGGCCACAATGCAAAACAATATGTTTGGCGTAAAAGCAACACAGCTCATCACCCTGAACACACCATCCCCAATTGATGGGAAGATGGATGGAGCCAAATACAGGACCATTCTGGAAGAAAACCTGTTGGAGTCTGCAAAAGACCTGAGACTGGGACGGAGATTTATCTTCTAACAGGACAATGATCCAAAACATAAAGCCAAATCTACAATGGAATGGTTCACAAATAGACGTATCCAGGTGTCAGAATGGCCAAGTCAAAGTCCAGACCTGAATTCAATCGAGAATCTGTGGAAAGAGCTGAAGACTGCTGTTCACAAACGCTCTCCATCCAACCTCACTGAGCTCGAGCTGTTTTGCAAGGAAGAATGGGCAAGAATTCCAGTCTCTCGATGTGCAAAACTGATAGAGACATACCCCAAGCGACTTGCAGCTGTAATTGCAGCAAAAGGTGGCGCTACAAAGTATTAGCGCAAGGGGGCCGAATAATATTGCACGCCCCACTTTTCAGTTTTTTATTTGTTAAAAAAGTTTACATTATCCAATAAATTTTGTTCCGCTTCACGATTGTGTCCCACTTGTTGTTGATTCTTGACAACAATTTTAATTTTTATATCTTTATGTTTGAAGCCTGAAATGTGGCGAAATGTTGAAAGGTTCAAGGGGGCCGAATACTTTCACTGTACCGACAACAAACACTGTAAACCCTGAAAGTGAAGTGTACTTGAAAAAACCTTGGAAATAAAGTGCACATTAACTTTTATGTGTGTCAAGTAATAATAATAATGCATCAGTTTTATATAGCACTTTTTTGGACACTCAAAGACGCTTTACATGCCATTGTTCTTTCACTCCAAACACGGTGGTGATAAACTACTACTGTAGCCACAGCTGCCCTGGGGCACACTGACAGAAGCGAGGCAACCAGTCTGTGCCATCAGCCCCTCCGACCACCACCAACCATTCACACACACACACCAGACTCATTCTAATGTGGGGGAAGTGTCTTGCCAAAGGACACAACGGCAGTTTGGCACTTTACAGCCGCCCCACTGTGGCACCTGCTGTTCCCAGAGGTTAAGTGTCTTGCCCAAGGACACAACGACAGCAGGCATCAGAGGGGGTCGATGGTGAAAGTCTTGACCCTCAGGCTCAAAGGCCAATGCTTTACCAACTGAGCTACTGTCGGTTCAACTGTTCAACTTACACATACATGTATATCAGAAAGGTCCTGCTCCGATCGGGATTTGAATCAGAACCTTCTTGTTGAGAAGCAAAGGTGCGACCCACTCAGCCACCACGCCGCCCTGCTTATGGGATAGCTAACATTTCAAACTATGTACAAGTTCAAAATATCAAACGTGCAGCTTACTTGAACAGAAACAGCTCAATTCAAAGAAGACCCAGAGTGATACAGCCGAGCTTTAAAGAAACTAACAATAAACGTCATATTTACTTACTGGTAAAAAACAATTTAAAATAACTGATATCTGAAGTAAGGGTTTACAGTGTACCACCAGATCGAAAATGCAACGCAACATATGAAATCCTTTGCAAATTCATAGATCCATCTATTTTCTTCCCCTTAATCCATGTCTGGGTCGGGGGTGGTGGTCAGAGCACCAGCCCCTGATCCTCCTGCTCCTGATGAGTCCACAGGAGGCTGTTCTGTCGGGGACGTTACAGCCTTGATCTTTCAGAGGGGGCTTCAGGCAGAGTGTCTTGCCCACGGACACGACGACAGCAGTCATCAGTGGGAGTCGGTGGAGAAGGTCTCAATGTGGGTTTTGAATCCATGACCTTCATGCTGGAGGAGGCCCATCATGGGAGGACCAGCCTCTACACGGCATGTCCCACCGGAGCATAACAGAAGAGGCTGATCTCAAGAAGTCCTACCAATGGCTATAAAAGGGCTGGAGACCCATGGTACAGACATACCACACCAGCTGAGACCAGAGGAGTCCCATGGTACAGATATACCACACCAGAGGAGTCCCATGGTACAGATATACCACACCAGGGGAGACCCAAGGTACAGACATACCACACCAGGGGAGACCCAAGGTACAGACATACCACACCAGCGGAGACCCATGGTACCTATACCACACCAGAGGAGACCCATGGTACAGATATACCACACCAGAGGAGACCCATGGTACAGATATACCACACCAGAGGAGACCAGAGGAGACCCATGGTACAGATATACCACACCAGAGGAGACCCAAGGTACAGATATACCACACCAGCGGAGACCCATGGTACAGATATACCACACCAGAGGAGACCCATGGTACAGATATACCACACCAGAAAAGACCCATGGTACAGATATACCACACCAGCGGAGACCCATGGTACAGAAATACCACACCAGAGGAGACCCATGGTACAGATATACCACACCAGAGGAGACCCATGGTACAGATATACCACACCAGCGGAGACCCATGGTACAGATGTACCACACCAGAGGAGACCCATGGTACAGATATACCACACCAGTGCAGACCCATAGTGTCGGTTGTGCAAAGAGGCACCTGAGATCCAAAATTGTGCAGAACCCTGGAGCTCCCAGGCCCAACCTTCCCAAAGTTATGAATTATTTACACATTTTTATTTTCTTATGAATGGGTTGAAATGAACAGAACTTCAAATGTACAGTAACTGCAGATGTTTCGAGGGAACTGAGCTTGAGCCGTGTCTCTGGGATAAAAACAGTCTTGGCCTTTGGAGGAGGTGCTGCGATGACAGAGTCTAACAAACGCATTAGTGAACAATAAAACATAATGCTGCTTAACGACACACTGTCCCAGAGTGCCTCCATGAGCCGCATGCTGCAGCTAAAAGTGTCCTGGCTCTGGGCCATGGCCACATACTGAGCATTCTTCACTGTGTATAAGATAACAGGCATCAACACTGACAGGGACAGCCTCTGCTGAGACTATAGACCACTGTCTCAGTACAGAGTAGTATACTGGTGTACGCTATAGTACAGAGTACTCCAGTAAGACTTGGACCGCAGCAGACATGGGTCCTCTCTCTCCGGGTCACTCTGGATGTGCTGCGTATCTGTTTGTACTGCTGTAAACAAGACCCTGAGTCACGGCCCATAGTATTCTGGATAATCGACGGAGCTTTTATTGAAAGATTAAAGATGGCCGCTTGAAGGGAGGTTTTATTTATTTTGCCAGGTGCTACGCTAATAATCTTAGCGTAGCACCTGGCAACACTGTGAGGAATCTGGACCAAGAACTCTCCTTCAGCTAACATATAAACCAAGCAACTGAAATTACGTTCTTCCACCTGCGCAACATGAGCTAAAATCAGGAGTATCCTAAAAGGGAGGGCACCAAAAGGAGGGAGCACATAACTCCGGTGTTAAAATCACTCCACGTTAAGGAAGCAGACACGGTCTTTTTTATTCAGAGCCTCAAATTCAGTCAATAAAAAACCCCTTTTTGCTGAATAACGAAGTCCACCTCAAGACAAGTCTGTTTATTGTTCAGTGATATAAATGTAAGATATTCAAAGGTAAAACTTGTTCCAATCGTCTGTTACTGTAAAGTTGGGAGTATCCTGTATCTGTGCGACACAGTGTGCTTGACACAGATCTGGCGTCTGTGGAGCACAGCTGCCTGAAAGGGCATTGTCTCTAAAGATACCACGAGCAGAGAGCAGGCTTTAATCCTGGCATGTTGACGTGTTTGTGTTTGTGTTGGACACTCACACTGCTGTCGACGAGTCTCCTGGTCCTCCAGGGAGGAGGTGCCGGGCTGCTGGGGAGGGCAGGAGGAGGTGCGGGGGGCTCTGGTCCTGGGCCTGAGGTGGGGTCATGGTTGCAGAGCTCAGGGTTTACTCCAGGACTCTCAGAGCAGAGCTGCAAGACAAGTTTATTTGTTCATCACAGTTCACACACATTAATACTTTTTCAAGCGACGCTAACTTTGACGACTTCAGAGATAACTACTATGTGTGATTTAGAGCTTAAAATCAATAGAATGGAATTGGATCAATGTGATGCAGTTTGAAGAGATGCATCACAGATCCCACTGAGGGACCTTTCATTAGTCCCACACAAGGGAAATATCAGTGTTGCATCAGCAGTTACGCAACAGTAGAAAAGAGGAGCACACAGCACAGAGTAAGTGAACAATAACTCTATACTAAAAAGATTGTATTGTGTTAAAAGATTCAGATTGTGAACATAGAACATGTGGTTCTATGTTCACAATCTAGACACACTAGTGCTGTGTAAACATACTCACGAATAATACATTTTTAAAGTAGAAACATGTAAGATTAGAGGGCCCTAATCTGTCATCATTAATGGGCCTTATTCTGTCATCATTAGAGGGCCCTAATCTATCATAATTAATGGGACTTAATCTGTCATCATTAGAGGGCCCTAATCTATCATAATTAAAGGGCCCTAATCTGTCATAATTAAAGGGCCATAATCTGTCATCATTAAAGGGCCTTAATCTGTCATCATTAAATGGCCCTCATCTGTAATCATTAAAGAGCCCTAATCTGTCATCATTAAATGGCCCTCATCTGTCATCATTAAAGAGCCCTAATCTGTCATCATTAAAGGGCCCTAATCTGTCATCATTAAAGAGCCCTAATCTGTCATCATTAAAGGGCCCTAATCTGTCATCATTAAAGGGCCCTAATCTGTCATCATTAAAAAGAAATCCATAGATCACTGTCTCCTATAGATCAGTGTCTCCTAGATCACTGTCTCCTAGATCAATGTCTCCTAGATCACTGTCTCCTATATCACTGTCTCCTATAGATCAGTGTCTCCTAGATCACTGTCTCCTATAGATCACTGTCTCCTATAGATCACTGTCTCCTATAGATCACTGTCTCCTATAGATCACTGTCTCCTATAGATCGCTGTCTCCTATAGATCGCTGTCTCCTATAGATCACTGTCTCCTATAGATCACTGTCTCCTAGATCACTGTCTCCTAGATCACTGTCTCCTAGATCACTGTCTCCTAGATCACTGTCTCCTATAGATCACTGTCTCCTAGATCACTGTCTCCTATAGATCACTGTCTCCTATAGATCACTGTCTCCTATAGATCGCTGTCTCCTATAGATCACTGTCTCCTATAGATCACTGTCTCCTATAGATCACTGTCTCCTATAGATCGCTGTCTCCTATAGATCACTGTCTCCTATAGATCACTGTCTCCTATAGATCACTGTCTCCTATGGATCACTGTCTCCTATAGATCACTGTCTCCTATAGATCAATCAATCAATCAATCAACGTTTATTTATAGAGCGCCTTTCCTACACAAGGCAACGCAAAGCGCCTCACAACCCATATAACATCATGCATAAATCATCAAACATTAGAATTTAAGTAAACATAAAAAGACAGATTAAGAGCACAAGATATATAAAATCACACAAGTAGTTAAAAACCGTAAAAAATTAAAATCACACAAGGGATTACAATCATAAATAATCATAAATAATCATAGCGCATTAAAAAGATTAAAGATAAAAACAAATGTAAAATCATTCACTTGTATGCACAGCTAAAAAGAACTGTTTTCAGTTCAGTTTTAAAAAACTGCTAGAGTAGACGCCTGTCTCACACTCTCGGGAAGACGGTTCCAGACTCTAGCTGCATGAATCTGAAACGCAGCCTCCCCATGTCTAGTTCCGACTCTTGGCACTAACAGAAGTCCAGTCCCTGTGCTCCTCAGAGCCCGAGTTGGTTCATATGGCACCAACATGTCGCGGATGTACCCTGGTGCGAGGCCATGGAGAGACTTGTACACAAGTAAAGCTACTTTAAAATCTATTCTCTGAGCCACAGGAAGCCAGTGCAGAGACCTGAGGACCGGACTAATGTGGTCGTACTTCCTGGTTCTAGTCAGGACTCGAGCTGCAGCATTTTGGATGTACTGCAGCTGTTTTACCGCTTGTTTAGAGAGACCTGTGAACAAGCCATTGCAGTAGTCCAATCGACTGGAGACAAATGCGTGGATAAGAATCTCCAAGTCTGCTTTAGACACAATGTTTTTAATTTTAGCAATGTTTCTTAGGTGGAAGTAAGCTGATGATGTCACAGATGATATGTGGCTATTGAAATTCAAGTCTGAGTCCATTATTACTCCTAGATTTCTGACCTGAGTTGAGGGTTTCAGGGAGAGAGACTGGAGGTGGCAGATAACGCTCTCTCTTTGTTTCTGAGGTCCGAAAACAATAATTTCAGTTTTTTCTGTGTTTAGCTGGAGAAAGTTATTTTGCATCCAATCACTGATCTGTTGGATACAGTGAAGGAGCGAGTCCACTGGTCCATGTTCTCCTGCTGTCAGGGACACATAGACCTGAGTATCGTCAGCATAATTGTGATAGGACACGTTATTACTGTGTATTAACCTACCCAGAGGCAGCATGTAAATATTAAACAGGAGAGGCCTCAGGATTGAGCCCTGTGGCACTCCGCAGGTCAGGGCCAGATGGTCTGAGACACAGTTTCCGATCTCCCACAAAATACTTTCTGTCCTGTAGGTAGGATATAAACCAGCTTAGGGCTGTTCCAGAAACACCAACCCAGTCCTCAAGTCTCTGAATGAGGATACCATGATCGACAGTGTCGAAAGCAGCACTCAAATCTAACAGGATAAGAACTGAGACTTTTCCTGCGTCAGTGTTAAGTCTGATGTCATTTGTTACCTTCACTAGAGCGGTCTCTGTGCTGTGGTGGGGTCTAAAACCAGACTGGAACATATCAAAAGAGTGATTGATTATTAAAAATTCTGTAAGTTGTTGATAGACAACTTTTTCTAGAATTTTACCCATGAAAGGCAGATTTGAAATGGGCCGATAACTTTTAAGTGCCAAGGCATCCAGACTCCTCTTTTTTAGGAGGGGTCTGATGACTGCCGTTTTCAGGGCCATTGGGAATGTTCCAGATTCAAGAGACATATTTACTATATGCGTGAGTGAAGGTAAAAGACTGCTCAGAACAGATTTAAGAAATCTAGGAGGTAATACATCCAGGCTACATGTAGAAGAACTCAGACTTGTAATTATCATTTGGACAGTTTCATTTTGTACTGGTGTAAAGTGTGTCAGCCCAAAAAGCTTCACTGGCTGTTGGATTGTAATTTCTACTGTGGAGGTGATGGCATTTTTGATGCCTTGGACTTTGTCATTAAAAAACTCTGCAAACTCATTACATTTGGTTTTGGAGGTAAGCTCTGATGGCATCTTAACAGGGGGATTTGTCAATTTATTTACCGTTGAGAACAGAACGCGTAGATTGCCACTACAACCTACGATTGTTTCGGAAAAATAAGTTTCCCTCGTTCTACGTAGCACACTGTTGAACTTGCACAATGCATCTTTGAAGATCTCATGGTCAACTTGGAGATTTGACTTTCGCCACTTCCGCTCGGCTCTCCGGCACTCTCTCTTCTGTGCCCTGACAGAGTCTGCTTTTGTCCATGGCGCCTTTTGCTTATTTGTAACAATTTTGACCTTTACAGGAGCAATCGTGTCCAGAACATCCAAAACACTAGAGGTGACAGAGTTAAGTAATTCATCCACAGTAGAACACAACGTGTTATCAAAGTTTATCATCCCCATGAAAAGTTCACCTGTATTTTTGTTTATGTGTCTTCTTCTTCTAACAATTGAGGATTCAGCTCGTGCTTTACTATTGAGACACATATCAAAAAATACACAGAAATGATCTGACAGAGCAACATTGGCCACATTTACATTTGAGATATTAACCCCTTTAGTAATTAGCAGATCGAGAGTGTGTCCTCTGCTATGGGTGGGGCCACTCACATGCTGAGTGAGACCAAAGGTTTCCAGCACAGAGCTCAGCTCTTTCGCGTATCTATCATTAACGTTATCTACATGTATATTAAAATCACCTATGACGACTAAACTATCAAAGTCTGTGCACACAACTGAAAGCAACTCGGTGAAATTATCAGTGAAACTATGACATGACTGTGGCGGCTTGTACACAACAATAATAAGAATAGAAGATTGTTTTTGCTCTATTTTAAAAGAGACATACTCAAATGAGGAAAATTTCCCAAGAGGTACTCTATGGGAGACAATACAATCTTTAAAAACTGCTGCTGTGCCTCCTCCTCTTTTATTTTCTCGAATTTCTGATTCAAATTTGAAATTTGGTGGTGTTGTTTCTATTAAAACTGCATTTTCTGTATTATGGTCAAGCCAAGTTTCAGTCATAAACATAAAGTCAAGATCATAAGAACAGATAAAATTATTAATTAAAAAGGATTTATTGCATAGTGATCTGACATTAAGCAGAGCAAGGTTAAAAATAATGTCAGTGTCAGTGGGTTTAGTTGATTGACTACAAAGAATTGGAATTAGATTTCCTGAGTTGGACCGTCTAACTGCTGTCCTTCTGTTATATTTGTGTTTATTCAAATTAAAACACATTTCTGAGCCGGTGCGAGGAACACACACAGTCTCTATTGGTTTAAAAAGTGAACTCTGTTTTACTTTGTTAAGTTCCAGATGCATGGCTGAGTAAGCACCGTTCAGTGGCAGGACTGGTATTACACTGCCAGACGGACAGGGGTCAGTGTTTGCACCACAGTACTCACCCGGTGCTGGAGTGGAGGAGGAAGGTGGTAGTGGGGGCCGAGAGGCCTCGGATGTCTCCTATAGATAACTGTCTCCTATAGATCGCTGTCTCCTATAGATCGCTGTCTCCTATAGATCACTGTCTCCTATAGATCACTGTCTCCTATAGATCACTGTCTCCTATAGATCACTGTCTCCTAGATCACTGTCTCCTAGATCACTGTCTCCTATAGATCACTGTCTCCTATAGATCACTGTCTCCTATAGATCACTGTCTCCTATAGATCACTGTCTCTTATAGATCACTGTCTCCTAGATCACTGTCTCCTATAGATCACTGTCTCCTATAGATCACTATCTCCTATAGATAACTGTCTCCTATAGATCACTGTCTCTTATAGATCGCTGTCTCCTATAGATCACTGTCTCCTATAGATCACTGTCTCCTATAGATCACTGTCTCCTAGATCACTGTATCCTATAGATCACTGTCTCCTAGATCACTGTCTCCTATAGATCACTGTCTCCTATAGATCACTGTCTCCTATAGATCACTGTCTCCTATAGATCACTGTCTCTTATAGATCACTGTCTCCTAGATCACTGTCTCCTATAGATCACTGTCTCCTATAGATCACTGTCTCCTAAATCACTGTCTCCTATAGATCACTGTCTCCTATAGATCACTGTCTCCTAGATCACTGTCTCCTATAGATCACTGTCTCCTATAGATCACTGTCTCCTATAGATCGCTGTCTCCTATAGATCACTGTCTCCTATAGATCACTGTCTCCTATAGATCACTGTCTCCTATAGATCACTGTCTCCTAGATCACTGTCTCCTATAGATCACTGTCTCCTAGATCACTGTCTCCTATAGATCACTGTCTCCTAGATCACTGTCTCCTATAGATCACTGTCTCCTAGATCACTGTCTCCTATAGATCACTGTCTCCTATAGATCACTGTCTCCTAGATCACTGTCTCCTATAGATCACTGTCTCTTATAGATCACTGTCTCCTATAGATCACTGTCTCCTATAGATCACTGTCTCCTAGATCACTGTCTCCTATAGATCACTGTCTCCTAGATCACTGTCTCCTATAGATCACTGTCTCCTATAGATCACTGTCTCTTATAGATCACTGTCTCCTAGGTCACTGTCTCCTATAGATCACTGTCTCCTATAGATCACTGTCTCCTATAGATCACTGTCTCTTATAGATCACTGTCTCCTATAGATCGCTGTCTCCTATAGATCACTGTCTCCTATAGATAACTGTCTCCTATAGATCATTGTCTCCTATAGATCGCTGTCTCCTATAGATCACTGTCTCCTATAGATCACTGTCTCCTATAGATCACTGTCTCCTATAGATCACTGTCTCCTATAGATCACTGTCTCCTATAGATCACTGTCTCCTATAGATCACTGTCTCCTATAGATCACTGTCTCTTATAGATCACTGTCTCCTAGATCACTGTCTCCTATAGATCACTGTCTCCTATAGATCACTGTCTCCTATAGATCACTGTCTCTTATAGATCACTGTCTCCTATAGATCGCTGTTTCCTATAGATCACTGTCTCCTATAGATCACTGTCTCCTATAGATAACTGTCTCCTATAGATCACTGTCTCCTATAGATCGCTGTCTCCTATAGATCACTGTCTCCTATAGATCACTGTCTCCTATAGATCGCTGTCTCCTATAGATCACTGTCTCCTATAGATCACTGTCTCCTAGATCACTGTCTCCTATAGATCACTGTCTCCTATAGATCACTGTCTCCTATAGATCACTGTCTCCTATAGATCACTGTCTCCTATAGATCACTGTCTCCTATAGATCACTGTCTCCTAGATCACTGTCTCCTATAGATCACTGTCTGCTATAGATCACTGTCTCCTATAGATCACTGTCTCCTATAGATCACTGTCTCCTAGATCACTGTCTCCTATAGATCACTGTCTCCTAGATAACTGTCTCCTATAGATCACTGTCTCCTATAGATCACTGTCTCCTAGATCACTGTCTCCTATAGATCGCTGTCTCCTATAGATCACTGTCTCCTATAGATCGCTGTCTCCTATAGATCACTGTCTCCTATAGATCACTGTCTCCTAGATCACTGTCTCCTATAGATCACTGTCTCCTATAGATCACTGTCTCCTATAGATCACTGTCTCCTATAGATCACTGTCTCCTATAGATCACTGTCTCCTATAGATAACTGTCTCCTATAGATCACTGTCTCCTATAGATCGCTGTCTCCTATAGATCACTGTCTCCTATAGATCACTGTCTCCTATAGATCGCTGTCTCCTATAGATCACTGTCTCCTATAGATCACTGTCTCCTAGATCACTGTCTCCTATAGATCGCTGTCTCCTATAGATCACTGTCTCCTATAGATCACTGTCTCCTATAGATCACTGTCTCCTATAGATCACTGTCTCCTATAGATCACTGTCTCCTAGATCACTGTCTCCTATAGATCACTGTCTGCTATAGATCACTGTCTCCTATAGATCACTGTCTCCTATAGATCACTGTCTCCTAGATCACTGTCTCCTATAGATCACTGTCTCCTAGATAACTGTCTCCTATAGATCACTGTCTCCTATAGATCACTGTCTCCTAGATCACTGTCTCCTATAGATCGCTGTCTCCTATAGATCACTGTCTCCTATAGATCGCTGTCTCCTATAGATCACTGTCTCCTATAGATCACTGTCTCCTAGATCACTGTCTCCTATAGATCACTGTCTCCTAGATCACTGTCTCCTATAGATCACTGTCTCCTATAGATCACTGTCTCCTATAGATCACTGTCTCCTATAGATCACTGTCTCCTAGATCACTGTCTCCTATAGATCACTGTCTCCTAGATCACTGTCTCCTATAGATCACTGTCTCCTATAGATCACTGTCTCCTATAGATCGCTGTCTCCTATAGATCACTGTCTCCTATAGATCACTGTCTCCTATAGATCACTGTCTCCTAGATCACTGTCTCCTATAGATCACTGTCTCCTAGATCACTGTCTCCTATAGATCACTGTCTCCTAGATCACTGTCTCCTATAGATCACTGTCTCCTAGATCACTGTCTCCTATAGATCACTGTCTCCTATAGATCACTGTCTCCTAGATCACTGTCTCCTATAGATCACTGTCTCTTATAGATCACTGTCTCCTATAGATCACTGTCTCTTATAGATCACTGTCTCCTAGATCACTGTCTCCAAGATCACAGTAGGTAGTGGGTTCTGACCTCAGGACCTGCTGTTCTGGGCGGACAGCTCTGATCCCTCTCTTCTCTCTTGTCTTCCAGGACCTCATGTCCGTTGTGCATGCCCATCTCCAGGTTCCCGTCGGGCCTCAGTCGGGTCAGGCCCTCCACCATGCGGCTGAGGGCCTCCAGCTTCACCCTGAGCTGCTGGTTCTCCTCCTGCAGCCGGGACACGGCCTCCGTCAGCGGGGCGTGGCTCGCACTCACGTCCTCTATCCTGCGCTCCACCCTCTGCTTGAAGGCGCTGACGTCCACGTGCACCTCTCGCACCGCGGCCTGGAGGGTGCACTGGAACTGGGCCAGGGCCTGGGCCACCAGGGGGTCCTCTGGGGTGTCCATGCTGAGCTCCACCTCTGAGGCCACACCTGCCTCTGCACAGAGTCAGTGATCACGGAAAACATTCAAGGAAAGCACTAAAGAGATTGAAGTAGATTTGTAAGTCAGGTTTCTGAAAGTATGGCAGAGACAGTATGGCACAGGTGGTGGTAAAAAATAATTATTACTTTAGAATTTTAAGGCCCCAACGTCCTACTATTTTAGCACTAATATTTTATTATAATGCAAAAAAAGGTAAGAATAGAAGAACAAAAATACAAACGATGGAAACCAGAGACAATAGAAATCAGGAAGCTGAGAGCATGAACCATCAACAGAGACGAGGGGGCCTAACCTACACATGGGACTCACTTCTCCAGAGACCACAGAGCAGCTCTGGGTAAGTTGCATTTTATTTGAGAATCCAAACCATTACACCTTCACATCAGCAGTGACTTTAACGATGAAAAAACATCCTAACCATGGATCAAACGCTCTGCTCGTGTGAACAAGAAGTCATAGTTATGTTAAATGTTAATATATAATAAACACATTGCAGTAAATAATTGTTGCAACGGTGGAGAAAGTTGTCAGAATACTCACTGATGCGAGCAAGTAAACACTTTACAAGACCAGTCCAAGACCAGTCCAAGACCAGTCTAAGACCAGACCAAGACCAGTCCAGTACCAGTCCAGTACCAGTCCAGTACCAGTCCAAGACCAGACCAAGACCAGTCCAGTACCAGTCCAAGACCAGCCCAAGACCAGTCCAAGATCAGTCCAGGACAGTTCCAAGACCAGTCCAGTACCAGTCCAAGACCAGTCCAAGACCAGTGCAATACCAGTTCAAGACCAGTCCAGGACAGTTCCAAGACCAGTCCAGGACCAGTCCAGTACCAGTCCAAGACCAGTACCAGTCCAGCACCAGTCCAAGACCAGTCCAAGACAAGTCCAGTACCTGTCCAAGACCAGTCCAAGACCAGTCCAATGACATAAAGAAACCACTTGTAGAAACAGAAAAAGTCATAAATATTTTAGTTTAAAATCTCTAACTTTAGCAAAATAAATTATATATCCTGTATATTCCAGAGCAGAGGTATACAGGTGCATGTTAGCATTAGCATATTAGCATGATAGCATTAGCATATTAGCATGTTAGCATTAGCATATTAGCATGAGGGCACAGAGACAACTTCTATTGCACATTATTATTATTATTTCAAATGTATATTTCAATTCTTTAGTAAGACTGTTTTTAACCTGGATTTTAACATTGTCTGTTCCAGATTGTAGCTGCATGAATCTACCTCCTCATGTTTAGTCCTGACTCTGGGACCAGCACTTTCACACGTCTTAAAACGCTTCAGAATTGTTTTGTGTTTCCTTCTCTCTCCACACAGTGAAGTCATGTATTAGGTGTGGGAGAAACCGGAGCACCTGGAGGAAGCCTAAGCACGGGGAGAACATGCAAACTCCCCACAGAAAGGCCTGTCTTCTTGCTGGGATTTACAATCGTGACGAAAAATAATATTCTAAAAAAGTAAATGTATGAATTTTGGCAGAATCGAGAGAGATTCATCTGCAGAATCTGACAAATAAGATTTCAAACTTGACCAGTCCATATTTCAAACTTGAACCGAGTTTGAAATCTTATTTCATTTTATTTTCCATTTGCAGTAAAACCCCATTGGAATAGATTTGCTAAAGTCCCTGGAGTGCAGCAGACACGTTCATACTGAAAACAACAGCCTCTATCAAAACAGATAAAACAAGATTTATTTTGAACAGAGAAAGACCCTTTTTTTAAATCCAAAAAACTATCTTTTTCCTGAATGCAACATGTAAGTTCTACAAGATCCCTACGATAAAATAAATGTTATTGATCTCACAACGACACATTTGGCAAAGATGGAATCACTCAGGGTTTGCAAAAAGACAGGAAGTGTGTTAAAAATGTAGAAAATATGGTATTTTTTGTGCAGGATATTTTATGTGTTATGAGGCTATGGCAGTGCGGGTTTTCAGTCTGAGTGCAGGCCCTTAAAGTGACTTATTGTACAGTCTGACAGCTGACAGGTCTGTCCCTCACCTGATAGTGATGTGGCAGCTCCGAAGAAGACTCCGAGGTTAGACCCAAAATGTAGACTATAAGGTAGACTCTGAGGTGGACTGGACTCTGAGGTGGACTCTGGAGGAGACCCCAGACCCTCAGACCCTCAGACTCAGACCCTCAGACTCAGACCCTCAGACCCAAGGCTCAGACCGGGCTCAGACAGCTGCCCCCTCTGTTGTCCCGCTCCTGGATAAATGTGGCTGAACTTGAGCCCGTGCAGGTCGCGGCTGTATTTTGGGACATAAAGGCGGCGGCAAAGGTCAGGCAGGGGGAGGGGCCTGGTCTGCACAGCTGCTGCGTCGCTGAGGCTGCACTTACACGTTGTCGTCTAAACGTGGAATAATGAGTAAAGTGGAAAATACAGCAATAAATATGATACAAGCACCTCACTTTTCTGCTGCACTCTCGGGACTTTTGCAAATTTATTCCAGTGTGGTTTTACTGCAAATGGCAAATAAATGAATCTGGATCAGAATCCCTCTAGTGGCACAACTCTCTCCTCTGGGTCCTGTGGGGTCTGGCTCCTGGACCAGGTGAAGGTCTGGGGCCTCCTCTGGGTCCTGTGGGGTCCCTGGTGCTCGCTGCGCCTGGTGCAGACGGCTCCTCGGATGGCACTTCTTCAGCTTATTACATCTGCACCCAGCCCTATGTCCCATGGATTTACCTATTTACCCATTGTGCATGTGTGTGTGTGTTTGTCCGTGTGTGTGTCTGTGTGTGTGTGCGTGTGTGAGGTGGGTCTGTCGGGCCAAAGCGTAAAGCATGTTTTATAAAAAAAATTTCTGTTTGCAGCAGAATCAGCTCCAAAGACCAAGTGGAGGAGTTCAAGTATCTCGGGGTCTTGTTTACGAGTAAGTAATCTTTATTTATATACCGCCTTTTCACTGCAGATCTGAGTCTCAAAGCAGTTTACAATTGTAAATTTTTTTGGGCATTTGTCTCTCACTCCACACAGAGATGGGAGCGGGGTCGCCAGTACAGGAGGCACATGCTAGAACTATTGGACATATTTTTAGTGGTAGGGGAAACCGGAGTACCCGGAGGAAACCTACGCAGACACGGGGAGAACATGCAAACTCCACTCAGAAAGGCCCTGGTCCGACCGGGATTCGAACCCAGGACCTTCTTGCTGAGAGGCGAGAGTGCTATCCACTCAGCCACCGTGCCGCCCAGTAACTCCCTCACCTCTGGTCACGAGGTGAGGGAGTTACAACAAGATCGAGGATACAAGTGGTCGAAATGAGCTTCCCCCGCAGAGCCGCTGCTCCCTTAGAGATAGAGGAGCTCAGTCACACGGCAGGAGCTCAGAGTAGAGCCGCTGCTCCCTTAGACGTAGAGGAGCTCAGTCACACGGGAGGAGCTCGGAGTAGAGCCGCTGCTTCTCTATGTCGTGAGGAACCAGTTGAGGTGGCTCGGGCATCTGTTCCAGATGCCTCCTGGACGCCTCCCTGGGGAGGTCTTCCGGGCACGTCCCACTCGGAGGAGGCCCTGGGGAAGACCCAGTGGGGGCGGGTCCCAGCTCAAAAGTGGCCAAAATGACGTGCGCTGACATGCTTGCAATACCACCCCGGGCCGTTGGGGGTGGACCCAGAAGAAGAATTAGCCAATGCTAACATATAGCATTGGCAGACCTCTCAAAAACGTCTTTACAGGATGGACCAAAAGTTGGCTCTTGGCCCAAAGCTCCGTTCCACATGTGTGTCAATGCTGAGGGGAGTGAATTTTATTGGTCCACTCTAGTTTACTTGCTGTGAATTTTTTAAGTTTCTTGTTCAAATGAATGGAGCTGCGCGGGCTGACGCATGCGCAGATGCGTTTTTTCACAATTTTCTTTCCACTCGCGGCCATCTTGGATTGCTCCATGAAAGCACTTTTCATGGCCAACTCCTATGAACGGCAGAGATAGGCGTGACTCTGTCCGTTAATATATACAGTCTATGGGAAGACCCAGGACACAGAGGGACTATGTCTCTCAGCTGGCCTGGGAACGCCTTGGGGTCGGACGAGCTGGAGGAAGTGTGTGGGGATAGAGAAGTCTGGGCGTCTCTGCTTAGACTGCTGCCCTGCGACTCGGCAACGGATGAAGCGGAAGAAAATGGAATGTATTGGAATGATATTTCTATGTAATTATTTTTTTATAAGATATCTGTGCTCTGCTGCCCTCTGCTGGTGGGGATTTCTCACTTCAGGCACTGACACTCTGACCACAGTGCGCTGGTTTTTACAGCACACTGTGGTGATAAACTACTGTAGCCACAGCTGCCCTGGGGCACTCTGACAGAAGCGAGGTCTGGACTTCTCTTTCAGGAGGAACTCACTCTAGTTTCTGAATAATACAGTTTCATATTAAACGTGATGTTGACGTTTATATCTGTATATATATAGCGCCCCCATGTGGCTGTAAAGTCACACTGCAGGGTTGTACTGAAGTCTATTTCTCTAAAACACATTTCATATTTTACAGATTGTTTAAAGTTTGATAACGTTTTTATTGATCTCAGGTCGACGACAGAAGCTGAAGGTGAAGCGGAGCTGTGTGTATCACCTGAAGAGCAATGATTAGAACATTATAATTATACTGAATAGTACTCAGGGTCAAACAGATTTATCTATTATAACTATTATCATCATTATTATTATTATCACTATTATTATTATCATTATTATCACTACTTTAATAATAATTGTTTGTATTATTATTATAATGGAAGATGGAAGTCTGTGTCTCTGTCAGGCAAAAACGTTGGATTTATTGAATCTGGGCTGAAATATAGTAGTTTTATTTTTTTTTATCAATAAAAAATAATTCAATGAAGCTATGAAGTAAATAAAAAAATGTGGAAAGAGAATAATGAGGAATTATTTTTTCTTCTCATAAAACTGTAGTTAAATAATAATAGATAGATAGATAGATAGATAGATAGAAAGATACTTTATTGATCCCCGTAGAAGAAATTCAGGTGTTCAGTAGCAGCAAAAATAAAAATAAAATTGATCAATCTAAAAACATAATGATAGCAATTATCAGCAACAGCCCTTTAGGTCACAGCAGCAGAGGTGGAGTAGCCTCTGGGTGGAGCAGGACCGTTAATATAATACATCCATGAGCAGGACAGGTCACAGCCACAGAGGTGGAGTAGCCTCTGGATGGAGCAGGACAGATCACATAATAATAATAAAGATTAATGAGTAATAATGATAATAATAATAATAGTAATAATACAAATAAAAATAATAAGAATAATAATGATAATAATAATAATAATAATAATAATAATAATAATAATAATAGTAGTTATAATAATAATTGTGAGATTTATTGTTTTGTTCATTCATGTATTAGTTCCTCCATAAACATCCTTCTTTACTCTGTCGTATCGGTTCATATTTAAGGTTAAAAACATTATTAACAGTCTGCGTTAAAGACAAAGGTGCAGTCAGTCCGCTCTTACTCTGAAAGGAAACACACCGGAAGTTATTTTTTTTCCCTGCGTAGCGTCCACACTTCCAGACCTCGGCTCGGTCTGGGTCTTGGTCCTCGTCTCTTCCCGCTGTCCTGGAGCTCTGTCTCATCTCGACCGTAAAGTCCACGGACCTGCGGTAAACCCGGGCCCTTACCACCGGTAGCCTCGGCCTCAGCGACCGCCTGTGGTGCCTCTGCTCCGGGAGAAAGCCACATCTGCTCCCGCTCTGGACCCGCGGCTCCTGCTGTGATGTTGACAGGAAGAATATCACCGAGACCAGGACTCATGGACCAAGGTACTGGAACTGATTAGACCCGGTTACACCCGCTCTATATACACTATACTCTACTATGGCCTACTATGGTCTACTATGGTCTACTATGGTCTACTATGGTCTACTATGAACAGTCTCCCTGAAAATGTGAGACAGGCTTCTTCTCAGACAATGGTCAAATCCTGTTTCTGCTGCAACTGAGAGATTTTATCTTTACTCTTTTTAATCTACTGTGATTATTTGAATCCCTTTAATGTTTCTGTCTTGTTTTGTTCTTTGTATGAACTGAGCTATACAAATAAACTTGCCACGTCTCTACTCTGTGGACACTGGGATGTCGTGTGTTGGTTGCTAGGATACGCTACCCGATGTGTTATAGTGTGTGTATGGTGATACACTACTACTGTAGCCACAGCTGCCCTGGGGCACATTGACAGAAGCGAGGCAATCAGTCTGTGCCATCGGCCCCTCCCACCAACCATTCACACACACACCAGACTCATTCTAATGTGGGGGAAGTGTCTTGCCTGAGGACATAACCACAGTTTGGCACTTTACAGCCATAGCCGCACCACTGTGGTTCCTGCTGTTCCCAGAGGTCTCCCATCACAGCACTAACCAGGCCCTATCCTGCTTAGCTTCCGAGGTCTGACAGGATCTGGCTTTCACCTGCAGGTGGCGCTACACACGTATTCAGTCATGGCAGATCACACATAACTTTTAATGTGGCTATACGTGCAGATAAATGTCAGACCTCTTTATGTAAGAAGGGCAGGGCCTGGTTAGTACTGTGATGGGAGACCTCTAAAGCCTTGTGTATACTTGCGCGGCGTGGCTTACGTTAGCGGTTGCGGTGGACCTACGTAAGCACAATTTGATTAGGGTCAAACTGTGGTTGTGTCCTTAGGCAAGACACTTCCCCCACATTAGAATGAGTCTGGTGTGTGTGTTAATGGTTGGTGGTGGTGGGAGGGGCCGATGGCACAGACTGGTTGCCTCACTTCTGTCAGCCCCAGGGCAGCTGTGGCTACAGTAGTAATTTATCACCACTGTGTATGGAGAGAAAGAATGATGATGTGAAGAGACTTGAAAAGTGTCTGAAAAGAAATGTATAAAACCCATTTCTTTTTATTATTATTATAAATGAACAAATGCAGTGGAGGAGGAACAGCTGAAAGGTTAAAGGTCCTGTGTCTCTGCAGGAGTCCAGGTCCGCTGTGTGGCCTCTGGTCCCGGTCTGGACCGAGCTGTGGTGAAGGAGGAGGAGGTGGAGGAGGTGATCATCAAACAGGAGGAGGCGCCGCTGGACCTGTGAGTCTGACAACTGTTGATTCTCCAACAACAGATCAGAGAATCAAACCGTCCAGAAGGGGCGGAGCCTTTGAGAAACAGCTTTGTTTTGTACAGTGTCGTTTATTTCTTAATTATTTTTATGAATAGATTTTTTAAATGTGAGTTTAACCTTAAACTCTTTTCATTTTAATATAAAATTGGGGGTGGTCCTGGTCTGGTCCAGTCCTGGACTGGTCCTGGTCTGGTCCTCGTTACCATAGCAACACACAGTTTGCCTGACAGTCGTTGGCAGCTCTTTAAAAAGTTTTCAGTATTTCCAGTTTTCTCGCCCGAGAGCAGTAACTGGGTGAAGATAAAAACCTCACAGGTTTCTTACATTTCTCAGAATTCCATTGATTTGAATAAAATAGTTAAAATGACTGATTACAGAGATTACTGTAGAATTCAGACTTTCTCATTTTTAATCATTCAAATCTAAATCCACTTTATTTATAAAACAAACAAAAGTCTCCTGCACAGGAGTAATGGCCAGAGCCTCATGTTGTAGCCCCGCCCACACGCTGTGGCTCCGCCCAAACGCTGTTGCTCCACATCTGCTTCTGGTTTGAAGAGATGCAGTGAGATCAAAGCTCCAGAGGAACATTCCACTGAACACAAACTCCGGGTCTGAGCCTCTCACTGTGAACACTCTGACCAACTACAGCAGTCATTTTGACTGCAGTGTCTGATTGATAAAGCACCCGAAGAGCACAGACCTCCGCCGAGAGCAGGGGTGGGCAGTATCTGTACAGAGAGAGGGACCAGAGAGAGAGGGACCAGAGAGAGAGGGACCAGAGAGAGAGGGACCAGAGAGAGAGGGACCAGAGAGAGGGACCAGAGAGAGAGGGACCAGAGAGAGAGGGACCAGAGAGAGAGAGGGACCAGAGAGAGAGGGACCAGAGAGAGGGACCAGAGAGAGAGGGACCAGAGAAAGAGGGACCAGAGAGAGGGACCAGAGAGAGAGGGACCAGAGAAAGAGGGACCAGAGAGAGAGAGGGACCAGAGAGAGAGGGACCAGAGAAAGAGGGACCAGAGAGAGAGAGGGACCAGAGAGAGAGAGAGGGACCAGAGAAAGAGGGACCAGAGAGAGAGAGGGACCAGAGAGAGAGAGAGGGACCAGAGAGAGAGAGGGACCAGAGCGAGACCGACCAGAGCGAGAGAGAGGAACCAGAGAGAGTCAGAATGTCCTCATACTTTCTCCTGTTTGCAGTGAAATGATTAAAACCTTCTGTGGTGTTTCTCAGGTCTGTCCTCGAGTCCAGAGCAGAAGAACCGAGAGTCCGGGACCCTGAGGTCTACAGCGACCGGAAACCTCTGTGGGGCTGTGCAGGCGGTGAGGTTCTCTCTCAGGTTCTCTGTCAGGAGGGGGGGGGGGCTCCTGATCCACATGTCCTCAGAGCCTAATTCACACTGAGCGAAAACGCATACATTTCTATTTTTTAGTAGTAATTATAAGAAAGATATGTTTATTTATGTAGCACCTTCCACAGACCAGAGTCACACAGACTTTACAGTTGTCTCTGACTCCTCACACAGATGGGAGGTCTCCTACAGGAGGTCTCCTACAGGAGGCTCATGCCAGACCTATGGTACATGTTTTAGTTTAAACAGGTCTTCCTGCTGAGTGTGTAACTCACAACCTCCTTTCTGCTGAGGCGGGTTCAGTGTAAACACTCCGACCAACTATAGCAGTCATTTAGACTGCATTAGAATGTGGATCAGGTGAGGATGGTTAAAACCACTCACAGGTCGCACTTTCAGTGAGAAGATCCTGGGTTTGACAGAACCTTTGTGGAGTTTGGATGTTCTCCCTGTGTCTGTGGGTTTCCTCTGGGTGCTACGGTTTCCCCTAACCCTTATACATGTCCAATATTTTCCTCTGGGGCCTGGAGTTTACTGTTACATTTGCTCTATTCATGTGAATCATAACCAGATGTGCATCACTCATTCTCAACACTGTCTCTGCAGGAGGCCACGCCCCCCACGTCTCTACAGGAGGCCACGCCCCCCACGTCTCTGCAGGAGGCCATGCCCCCCACGTCTCTGCAGGAGGCCACGTCTCTGCAGGAGGCCACGCCCCCCACGTCTCTGCAGGAGGCCACGTCTCTGCAGGAGGCCACGCCCCCCACGTCTCTGCAGGAGGCCACGCCCCCCACGTCTCTGCAGGAGGCTACTTTCCCCATTCTGGAGGCCACGCCTCCTCTGCAGGAGGCCACACCCCCTCTTCAAAAGGCCACGCCCCCTCTGCAGGAAGCTACACCCTCACTGCAGGAGACTACACCCCCTCTGTAGAAGGTTGCACCACCGCTACAGAAGGCTACACCCCCACTACAGGAGGCCACGCCCCCCACATCTCTGCAGGAGGCTACTTTTCCTATTCCGGAGGCCACGCCTCCTCTGCAGGAGGCCACACCCACTCTTCAAAAGGCCATGCCCCCTCTGCAGGAAGCCACACCCCCACTGCAGGAGACTACACCCCCTCTGTAGAAGGCCACACCCCTGCTACAGGAGGCCACACCCCCACTACAGGAGGCCATGCCCCCTCTGCTGGTCTCAGTCTGAAGGAGGAGGTGGAGGAGGTGATCATCAAAGAGGAGGAGATGCCGCTGGAAGTGTGAGTTTTAAAGAGTTCTAAAATTGAGTCTCTGTTCCTGTGGAGCAGCACCATCTACTGGTGACGGCTGGTATTTTGTGCACCTGTGCACATAAAATTAACAAAACAAGCTTTACATATTTACAAAGCCATTATTGTTGCTATACACAAATTCCTCCACGAGCTCAAAATGGGGTGGGAAGAAGAAAAACAAAAAATTATCAATTAATCTATACTAAAATAAATACCCTAACCCTCTAACTTTAGCATAATATAAAAAAATATCAATATATATTCTAGTGTAGACATAGTAGCATGTTAGCATTTTAGCATGTTAGCATGTTAGCAGCAGGAGGCTCCGGGACACAGACACCTGTGGTTCTTGCACATTCTGACAGTATTCCAAACAATTGCACAGACTTTTACCACAGTATAATTAAACATTGTGTTTATGTTTCCAGGACTGAGTCGTCTGAGGGTCTCTCTCTCGGTCACATGAGCTCAGAGTCCGAGGGCTTCACAGACCATTCCTCTGACGACGAGGACTGGACTGCTCCGGTCCACGACTCTGGAGGTGACGTGAAGGAGCACCAGTGCCACTTCTGTACTAAGACTTTCCGATACCAGAAGGATCTACTGAGACACATCAGGATCCACACGGGGGAGAGACCTTTCGGCTGCTCCATCTGCCCCAAGAAGTTTGCCCAGAAAGCGTATCTGGAAGTGCACACGCGGACGCACACCGGAGAGAAACCCTTTGTCTGTCCCTTCTGTGAGAAAACATTTGCGGTGAAGGGCGCCATGTTAGAACACATGAAGATGCACACGGGAGACAGACCTTTCGCCTGTTCACTCTGCGACAAAACATTCCCCCGTAAGAGTAACCTGGAGGTCCACATTCGAACTCACACAGGGGAGAAACCTTTCAGCTGTTCCACCTGCGGCAAGACGTTCGCCCAGAAAGGTGCACTCGCAGAACACGTGCGATATCACACTGGCGACAAACCTTACAGCTGCTCAGTCTGCCAGAAAGATTTCATCTCGTCCTCCAACCTGAAGTATCACATGATCAGCCACTCGGAGGAGAAGCCCTACAGCTGCTCAGTCTGTCAGAAGAGCTTCACCAAGAAGAGCAGTCTGACTGTGCACCAGCGAACGCACACAGGAGAGAAACCTTTCAGCTGTCCAGTGTGTAACAAGGCCTTCACCGTCAAGAGCAACGTCACGGAGCACATGAGAACACACACAGGCGAGAAACCCTTCGGCTGCTCCAGCTGCGACGCGCGGTTTGCCTTGAGTTCACAGTTAAAAAAGCACATAAGAAGTCACAAAGGAGAGAGACCTTTCAGCTGTCCAGTCTGCCACAAAACATTTGCCACGAAGAGTGCTGTCCCCGATCACATGAGGCGCCACACGGGGGAGAAACCTTTTGCATGTTCTCTCTGTGACAAGACATTCAGTCAGAAGACCTGTCTGAAAGAGCACGCCAGGACACACACCGGAGAGAAACCCTTCAGCTGCTCCTTCTGCCAGAAAACGTTTTCGGTGAAGAGTAATCTGACGGAGCACATCAGGACGCACACGGGGGAGAAACCTTTCAGCTGCTCCTCCTGCGACATGTGCTTCGTCTCCAGCTCGAAGTTAAAGAGTCACATGAGGAGCCACACGGGAGAGAGACCGTACCTGTGCTCACTCTGTCAGGTCGGCTTCAGCTCCAACTCCAACCTCAAGAAACACATGAGGAGCCACCAGCCGGGGAGGGGGGAGGCCAGAGAGACCAGGGCATCCGGGGGAGAGACCAGGGCGACCAGGGCATCCGGAGGGGAAGGGGGAGAGAGGACAGAGACACCGCGGAATTTACTCTGCACAGATTTAGAGACAAAGGATTTAAAAATGGAAACCGTTAAAGAGACCGTTTGAAAAATACGGATAAGGACTAATGTTTAACTCTGTCTTCTTCAGACGTGTGGTTAGATGTACCATCATGCACCATAATGCACCATATTGCACCATAATGTACCATACCATGTGTCTTCTCTCCACACAAACCTTTCAGCTGTTCCTCCAGCTGAGACTCTGTCCTCAGCTCTTCAGCCTCCGAAATCACTTTGAACTATTTCTCATAAATTGTTCCGATGTTTCTTGAAAGATGTAGTTTCTAATTAATTCTGAATCTACCAGAGCTCCTGGAGCAGTCAATTTGACGGCTCCCATTCAAACCAAAGGAATCCTGAGAAATTCCACCAAAAATGTTTTAGTTTTCCACCAGAATAAACCTTTATTCACCTTTACTACGTACTAAAACCAGTGAAAATTGAACACAGCAACAAAAGCTAATGCTCATGACCAAATGCTAACTGCAGCAATTAACAATTAAACCGTGTTGCTATGGTAACCAGAGCCAGGACGATGAAAAGTTTTGGTTCTAGCGATAGAACTTCTCACATTTACAGAAAATAGTAATAATGCAACTATTTTCAGGACGCTCTCTCTTCACATCATTCTTTATCATCTCTTCGAACGCAGAGATAAACTACTACTGTAGCCGCAGCTGCCCTGGGGCACACTGACAGAAGCGAGGAAAGATCAAAGTGAGAAAGATTAGAAATGTCCATGAGCCGTAACTACACTTCGCAAAAGGCGCTAGTGTAGTTACCTATGAACTCTGGGAGTTCAAAGGTCAGGGGTCTGCAACCTCAGCCTCGGGAGCTAACAGTAGCTCCCCAGCTCCTTTCAGGTGGCTCCCCAAATGATGGAGAAATGAACACATGATTCTGAATGAATACATTTTGAGTCTTTACATGTGTATTATAAGTATAAATATAAAGTTATACACGATATTTGCATGTGTTCTTCATGTGTTCTGTTTTTTCTTATTTATTACACAGATTTGTATAGTACGACTGCAAAAAAGTAGCTCTGTCTCTTCTGTTGTATGAAAGTAGCTCTCTGTCTCTTCTGTTGTATGAAAGTAGCTCTCTGTCTCTTCTGTTGTATAATAGTAGCTCCTCTCCACCTGCAGAGGGCAAGGCACCTTTTTCCGGTCGAGCACCATGGCCTCGGATTTGGAGGTGCTGATTCTCATCCCAGCCGCTGCAGTTGGAGCCAACAGACAACATCGTCTGCAAACAGCAGAGATGAAATCCTGTGGTCTCTGAACCGGACCCCCTCCGGCCCCTGGCTCTGGTCTCTGAACCGGACCCCCTCCGGCCCCTGGCTCTGGTCTCTGAACCGGACCCCCTCTGGCCCCTGGCTGTGGTCTCTGAACCGGACCCCCTCTGGTGAACAGAACCGGTGACAAAGGGCGGTCTTGGTGGAGGCCTTTAAATAAATCTGAACAAAACTATTTCACTGCTGACTTTGATCTTCACTTTATACATGGTCTTAATGTTGACCACGAAGCAAGGAGCAGGAGGAGCAGAAAGGAGCAGGAGGAGCAGCTCCACACGCTTTGTCAGAAACTCAAGAGTTTCTGAGACCAGCTGAACCACAGAGAGAGACCAGAGTGGCGTCTCTCTCTCTCTCGTCTCTCTGAGGAGGAGGTCATTGTCCTCCAAATAAGATGAATCAATGAGTGGATTAATCTTGGAGCAGGTGGGCTCCGTCATTTTGTCGGTGCCATCGTGGTCTTCTTCAGGAGCATCAGATAAAAGCACCGGGATGAAAACGGGTTGTTTTGGTCGAGTTTCCTAAAGCTCGCAGTAAACAACAGTCCTGAGTTCAGTTTTGCTGAACAAAATAAGAAAGCATTAAAATCATAAATAATCATTAAAAAGAAAGATAAAAGTATAAAATCCCTCAGTTGTATGCACAGCTAAACATTGTCAGAGAAGAGGCCTGTCTCACATCTTCAGGAAGATTGTTCTAGATTTTAGCAGCATGAATCTGAAAAGCAGCCTCCCCAAAAGCAGTTCTGACTCTGGGCACTAACAGGAGTCCAGTCCCTGTCCTCCTCAGAGTCCGGGCTGGTTCATATGGGACTAACATGTCACTAATATATTTTGGTGCAAGGCCATGGAGAGACTTGTACACAAGCAGAGCTGTTTTAAAGTCTATTCTCTGAGCCACAGGAAGCCAGTGCAGAGACCTGAGGACTGGACTAATGTGGTCGTACTTCCTGGTTCTTGTCAGGACTCGAGCTGCTGCATTTTGAATGTACTGCAGCTGTTTTACAGCCTGTTTGGACAGACCTGTGAGCAGGCCATTGCAGTAGTCTAACCTGCTGGAGACAAATGCATGGATAAGAATCTCCAAGTCTTCTTTAGACACTATGTTTTTGATCCTGACAATGTTTTTTAGATGGTAAAAAGCTGCTGATGTTACTGATTTGATGTGGCTATTAAAATTTAAGTCTGAGTCCAGTATTACCCCTAGATTTCTGACCTTGTTTGAAGGTTTTAGGGAGAGAGACTGTAGGTGACAGATGACGCTCTCTCTTTGTTTCTGGGGACCAAAGACAATCATTTCAGTTTTGTCTGCGTTTAGCTGAAGGAAGTTGTTTTGCATCCACTCACTGATCTGTTGGATACAGTGAAGGAGTGAGTCCACTGGTCCATGTTCTCCTGCAGTCAGTGAGACATAGATCTGAGTGTCGTCTGCATAGTTGTCATAGGTCAGTTAATACGCAGAAACGAAGTGTCCTAACGGCAGCATGTAGAGATTGAACAGAAGAGGTCCCAGGATCGACCCCTGTGGTACTCCACAGGTCAGGGCCATATGATCTGAGACACAGTTTCCAATCTCCACAAAGTACTTCCTGTCTTCAAGGTAAGACCTAAACCAACTTAGGGCGGTGCCAGCGACGCCAACCCAGTCCTCTAGTCTCTGTAAGAGGATCTCATGGTCGACGATGTCAAAGGCAGCACTTAGATCTAACAAGATTAAGATTGAGACTTTGCCTGCGTCAGTGTTCAGCCGGATATCGTTTGTAACCTTGACAAGGGCAGTCTCAGTGCTGTGGTGGGGTCTAAAGCCGGACTGAAACATATCAAATGAGTTGTTGATTATAAGAAATCTAGTAAGCTGTAGGTAGACAACTTTTTCAAGGACTATCCCCATAAATGGCAGATTTGAGATGGGACGATAGTTGTTAAGTACCGTAGCATCCAGAATGCTCTTTTTTAGCAGGGGCCTGATGACTGCAGTTTTCAGGGCCTTTGGGAATATTCCAGAATGAAGGGACATGTTTACTATCTGTGTCAGTGAAGGAACAGACTTCAGAAATCTAGTGGGTAGTACATCCAAGCTGCATGTGGAGGAGCACAAACTGGAGATTATCTCTTGGACAGTTTTAAAATGTACAGGTGCAAAGTGAGTTAGCTCAGAGAGCCTTTTTGGCTGTTGGATGGTTATCTGTGGATTGGAGACAATGGCGTTTTTGATGCCTTGAACCTTGTCATTGAAAAAATTAGCAAACTCATTGCATTTACGTTTGGAAGTAAGATCTAATGGCATTTGAACAGGGGGGTTTGTTAATCTATTAACTGTTGAGAACAGAACACGCAGATTGTTGCTGCAGCCTTCAATCATTTCAGAAAAATACCTTTCTCTCGTACTACGTAGCACCCGGTTAAACTCGCACAACTTATCTTTGAAGATCTCGTAATCAACCTGGAGGTTGGACTTGCGCCACTTCCGCTCGGGCCCTCCGGCACTCTCTCTTTTGTGCCCTGACCGAGTCTGCTTAACCCACGGCGCCTTCTGCTTATTTTTCACTATTTTAACCTTCACAGGGGCAACGGTATCCAGAACATTCAAAACACTAGAGGTGACAGAGTTAAACAGTTCATCTACAGTAGAATACGATGCATTCTCAAAGTTTATCATTCCCATAAATAGTTCACTCGTATTTTCATTTATGCGCCTTCTTCGAACAGTTGCAGAGTCCACTGGTGGTTTGTTAGTGAAACACATGTCAAAAAAAACACAGAAATGATCCGAAAGAGCAACATCGACCACGTTTACATTTGAAATATTCACCCCCTTAGTAACCAACAGATCTAGAGTGTGCCCTCTGCTGTGGGTGAGGCCACTTACGTGCTGAGTGAGATCAAAGGATTCAAGTACAGAACTCAGCTCATTTGCATTTCTGTCATCAACATTATCCACATGAATATTAAAATCACCTGTAATAACCAAACTATCAAAATCTGTGCATACAACTGAAAGCAACTCGGTAAAATTATCAATAAAACTGTGACATGACTGCGGTGGCTTGTATAGGACAATGAAGAGTATTGGAGGAGATTGTTTTTGTTGTATTTTAAAAGACACATATTAAAATGACGAAAACTTCCCAAGAGACATTCTATGGGAGACAAAGTGGTCTCTAAAAATGGCAGCTAAGCCTCCTCCTTTTTTGTTTTCCCGTATTTCAGATTCAAATTTGAAATTTGGTGGTGATGCTTCTATTAAAACTGCCTTTCCTGAATTTTGGTCAAGCCAAGTTTCAGCCATGAACATAAGATCAAGATTATGAGAACAAATAAAATTATTGATTAAAAAAGACTTGGTACAAAAAGATCTGACATTAAGCGTAGCAAGTTTCAAAGTTTCAGTAGCAGCGGTTGTGGTTGGCTGATTCTTACACGGAACAAGAATTAGATTTTCCAGATAAGACTGATTAACTCCAGATGTTTTTCTGTAATGTATTCTTTGTGCTATCACTAAGGGAATGGCACAGGTGGCTTCATGACAGGGCCCCAGCCGGGTCTCTCCTCTAACTAGACTGCCAGTGGCTGCGAAGCAGAGACCCTGTGCATCCTAGTGTTTAGAGAAAAGAGGGGAAGGGGAAGGCGGGGGAGGAGGATGGAGAGGTGGGTGGCTTTTGGGTGTTGAACGAGGGGGGCAGGGAGGTGGAGGGGTTTTTGGTGATGGGTTAGGGCCGGGGTGGGCTGAGGCAGAGGTTTTGGGTGTTGAACGAGGGGGAAGTGGGGGTGGAATGGTCATGAGGTTAGGGGAGGGACTGGCTGAAGTGGTTTTTGTAGGTGAATTGGAAACCCTAGGTGGTTTTGGAGGTACATATGGGGAGTGGTTTAGAATGTTGGACAGGACTCTAGATCTAGCTAATATGGGTGTGAGAGGAATAGTCTTCATCGCCGATTTTATTAGCCCTGCAGAGTGTTCAGGTAGGTCTAACAGTGAAGGCGGGGATGAAAAACAAAGGGACGTGTCCCCATTCTCTCTTGACGGAGTGGACGTGGCAGGGGGGACCCAAGACAGGTCCATGGGAGGTGGCGAGGGAGTCTTTGATGGAGGGGCAGGTGGTTGAGGAAACCCCAGCACAGGCCTGTCTGCTGTAGGCTGGGGTGAGGATGGGGGCTTCAGAGGCGCTGTAGATGAAGAAGGCGTGACTGCTTTGGAGCAGGCTGGGGATGAGGATGTTGGTGGTGGTGGTCGTGCAGCTGGTGCTGCTACTGGTGATGATGCAGCTGCTGCTGGTGATGATGCAGCTGCTGCTGGTGATGAGGCAGCTGCTGCTGGTGACAGTGGAGGTGTTGAGATCCTTCGAGGTGGTGTTGAGATCCTTCAAAGTGGTGGTGGTGTTGAGATCCTTCGAGGTGGTGGAGGTGTTGAGATCCTTCGAGGTGGTGTTGAGATCCTTCAAAGTGGTGGTGGTGTTGAGATCCTTCGAGGTGGTGGAGGTGCAGAGACTTTTAGAGTCGGCTTCCTCCCTTTCGATGGCTGCACGCGCTGCGCAGGCTGAGGTCTCAGGGCAAAAGAAAGGTTATCCATCAACACTTTTACTCCGTAAGTGTTCAGATGTGGCCCTTTCACTTCAAAAAGCTCATGCCTATTCCAGAACAGATTAAAATTCTCAATGAAGGCAAGTCCTCTGCGTGAAAATTCGTTGAGTAGGAAAGTATTTAGCTGATACAGACGACTGAATTTCATTTGCTTCCCGTCCACATTTGGTAGTGGGCCACTGATAACGATTTTTACGTCCATTTTAGCAAGGTCGTCCAATAAGAGAGAATAATCCCGTTTCAACTTTTCACTTGTGTTGTCATAGACATCTACTGCCCCCACGTGGATCAACAATCTTTTTACCCCGCCGGTCTCAGACAGAAGCTTTGGAGCCAAAAGCCTTATCTCATCCACTTTGGCAGAGTGTACTGAGTGAACCTTCAGATTACGCATGTTTACATCTTTTATCGCAGAATCCCCGATAAAGAGCGACTCAGCTGCATTTGACCTTGACTGAGACTGAGACTGGGACTGAGAGGCTACTGCTGATTCATCTTCCAAAAGTGGTGAATAGCGGTTCCTTGTAATTAAAGATTTTTGCCGTGGCATTATGACACTCTTGTTATCATTAGCTTTGCCTTGTTTGGGCTTGGCACCATATGTGTTCCAACAATTGTCTCTGTTGATTTTGGGAAATGAAATAGCGTCATCATAACTTACGTTCTGTCCATTTGGTCCATTTCCTTTCACTGGTATTGTTGTGTTCAGCCCCAATTCTGATTCAAGCACAAACATTCGGTCTTGAGAAGTTTTAGCTCCTGTTTGAGTGAAAAACAGCCGTCGCAAAGTTTTGTTCTTTGTTTCCGTCCTCCCGACATGCTGTAAGTTAGGTAAATTCCACAAGTCTTGTGTTGAAGTTTGTAAAAAGGAGTAATCCGTGTTTTGTGGAATAAAAATGTAAGCAAAAATGATTAAAGGAGATAAAAAAGCAGCAAGCGAGGAGCAGCAAGAGAATGCGACTGCTCTGTCCAGAGCAGGAAGTACAAACAACAGTCCTGGGTAAACAACAGTCCTGGGTAAACAACAGTCCTGAGTAAACAACAGTCCTGGGTAAACAATAGTCCTGAGTAAACAACAGTCCTGGGTAAACAATAGTCCTGGGTAAACAACAAGACTGGCGTAAACAACAAGACCGGCGTCTTTCATGGAGAGTGGGCGTGGCCAGGGTGTCACATGCACGACGTCAATAGTCACAGTTTTCACAGTCTCCAGGGGAATAATATTAAGCATAATTTGAATTTGATTTGAAATTTTCCGTTTTGCAAATTAAATATATTTAGTTTTTCCAAAATGTAGTGATAATTTATGTCAAACTTTCATTTTATGCAATTCATTTCCACCAACAACACGAGCTGATTTATGTCCTCACGATGAAGTCCACAAACAGGACATGGTTCAGTGAAAGTGTAGAAGGTCATTGATGTGAATAATGAACAGTTCTGGTCCAAGTGTTGATCCCTGTGGGACACCACACTCCTGAGGTCTGCCACTGTTTCAGGATAACAGGAACGATGAGGACTGGCCACCAGAAGGAGCAGGAAGAGGAGGAGGAGTACCATGGGGGTGGGGCTTAGCGTCTCTGGCAGCGTCTGCAGCTGTATGAGCAGCTCTGTGTGAGTGTGTAATCTTCTGGCTCTGTTTCATTTAGTGACCTTTACGAGACCAGAGAGACACTAGAGAGAGACCAGAGAGACACCAGAGAGAGACCAGAGAGACACCAGAGAGACACCAGAGAGAGACCAGAGAGAGACTAGAAAGAGACCAGAAAGAGACCAGAAAGAGACAAGAAAGAGACAAGAAAGAGACAAGAAAGAGACCAGAAAGAGAAACCAGAGAGAGAGACCAATTCCAGGCCTGGTGTGTGAGTCTTTGGTCTGTGTTCAGGGTGGAGGAACAGAGAGACTCAAGAGATGAAGATCTCTGGATCTTCATCTCTTGAGTCTCTCTCAACAGAAATGAACAGTACGCATATTTGTATGCATATTTGTGTGTGTGTGTTTATACACGTGTGTGTGTGTTTGTTTATACATGTGTGTGTATGTGTATACATATTTGTGTGTGTGTTTATACACGTATGTGTGTGTGTATGTGTGTGATTATGCACGTGTGTGTGTGTATGTGTGTGTTTATACACGTGTGTGTGTGTGTTTATACACGTGTGCGTGTGTTTGTTTATACGTGTGTGTGTGTGTGTGTGTTTTTTTATTTGTATGTGTGTGTGTTTATACACATGTGTATGTGTGTTTTTATGCATATTTGTGTGTGTGTGTGTTTATACATGTGTGTGTGTGTGTGTGTATGTGTGTGTTTATGCATATTTGTGTGTGTGTGTGTGTCTAGGCCCAAGGCAGTTCGGTTGCAGCTGGACCAGCAGATCCTAGAGCTCCTGAACACCAGGGACTTCACTGCAGAAGAAAAGGCTCAGGTGCAGAAGGTTCTGCAGCAGGACCAGGTCTGTGGATCACCTCTGCCCTACATCTGGAGCGGAGACCAGAGGAACAACGGACGCCGCATGTGGACTGTGCTGAAAGAGCTCAGGGACAAGCGGAGACAACGGTTTCTCAGAACTTTGAATGGCTAATGATCCATCCATCCATCCATTTTCTACCCTTTAATCCATTTCTGGGTCAGGGGGGCGGCAATCAGAGATGCCACCCAAGTCTCATAGCACCAGCCCCTCACTGACCCTCTGCAGGTGGTGAGTCCACAGGAGGACGGCTGCTCTCTGAGTGTGAGCATAGCCTTGATCTTTCAGTGAATGGCTAATGATATAATATAATAATAAAGACATGAGAAGCGTCTTTGAGCTGTTTTTTATGCCCTTTACAATTTTGGCTGTAGGAGGCTCTAATGCTGTATTTTCATGTTTTCAGAATTATTTTTATCCATGATTTTTATCCACATAACAGGAAGTCACAGACTTGGAAATTGGCATACACTTCTACGGTATAACATTTTCATTTCATTTCATTTTCAACCCCTTTGTCCATTTCTGGGTCAGGGGGGTGCCACCTAACGCTCATAGCACCAGTCCCTCGCTGATCTTCTGCAGGGGGTGAGTCCACAGGAAGATGGCTGCTCTGTCAATTGTGAAACAGCCTTGATCTTTCAGCAGGGGGCTTCAGGCAATGTGGGGTTAAGTGTCTTGCCCAAGGACACAACGACAGCAGTCATCAGTGGGAGCAGTTGGAGTAGGTCCCATGGTGGGAATCGAACTCACAACCTCCAGGCCCAAAGGCCAATGCTCTACCAACTGAGCTGCTGGTATAACATTTGATATAGAATTATTACAATTACAATTACAGTCGCTATGTACAATATACAAGTGCACATGGTGCACACTATATGCAGTAGGCAGTGCAATAGGGTGGCAAGCAGTAAATTGACGTTATGATGGCATATTAAAGTGACTTAATAAGAGACAGTAAAGTGACATTATAGGGGGCCGTAAGATGACTTCTGACAGCTAATTTACACAGGACACATTACAGAACGTACGCGTTATACGCGCGTAACTTTTTTCCATGTTAACCAATGGTGATATTTACGCTACTAGTGTCATACGCGCGTATGATGGACGTAATGACGCGAGGCTGCACCTAATATAGGATTGATTTCTAATTTTGTGCGTGCAGCAACGCTTCTCTCATTGAAATCACATGTAAAACATGATTTTTCTAGTGGCCCTTGGCTCTAGATTGCATCTACACACACACAGCACTTGTGTCTAAACATCAGCAGAAGGAGCAGAGGTTTTACAGCGATTCTGGACATTGTTTTTTTTTCTTTCATAAAGTCTGGCGTCTGGCCAAACCAGCAACAGAGACCATCAAGACAAACACATGCATGTGATTTGTGTTACTCTACATCAGTCCTCTGGCCCGTACTGTCCTCTACACTTCTCCATAGACTACACAGGGACAGCATCAGAAGCTGCGATTTAAAGCCAAGGGTCACTATAAAAATCATGTTTCACATGTGTTTTCAATGGGAGACGCGTTGCTGCGCGCACAAAATTAGAAATCCATTCTAAATTAGGCGCAGCCTCGCGTCATACGTCCGTCATACACTAGTATGAAATGGGGATATGTTAATATCCCCATTGGTTTTACACAAAAAATGTTACGCGCGTATAACGCGTACGTGCTGTAACGCTTCCTGTGGAAATTAGCAGTAAGGGGCGGGGTGCAGGTTATGAACAGCAAGAGTCCAACAGCAGAGGGGAAGAAACTGTTCTTGTGGTGGGAGGTTCTAGTCCTGATGGACCGCAGCCTCCTGCCTGAAGGGGCTTTCAGACCGCCAACGCTGAAACGCGGAAGCCCCGCTCACCAGACGCGCATTCTATTGTTTTCAGACGCAGAGGACTTCACACCAGAACGTCCTGACGCGAGCCGGAAGTACCGGAAGTAGCCGGCCGGCTCTAATGCTAACACTGTTGTTAATACTTTTCACGAAGAGTTAGTGGACACGTGTGTCTTTAATATGAGCGGACTTTGTGGGAATGGTTATATTCAAAGTATTAGAGTAAAATGAGTTTGTAAAACACCTGCGGCGCAGCGACGCGGAGCAGGAGCCGTAGTTCTGAGCGGAGCCAGAGCCTTTAACTATTTTGAATGTCTTGAACATTTTTAATTAAATCCAAAGCGCCTTTTCCACACCCCCTCTGAGCATGCGCAGAGGTTCACGCATGCGCTGTCTCCAGTGTTCAGCATCCACTGCCATCGAGTTCTTGCCATGCGCAGTCATGAGTAACGTCATCATCGTGCAGTTTTGGTAATTACTTCTTTATTATGATCAAATATTAACTGAGTGGTACTTTGGGATGATATGTTGGGTATTTCATTCGGAAATATTGTCCGTAAATATATGTGTTTTGTCATCTTTTGTCACAGTTTATATCTATCTTAAAATCCTTTTTATGTTGTTCCCAGAGATGATATTGTATTTTGTAGCAGTATATGGCAATCTGTATTGTTATGAAACAATTATTTGACTATTAGACGTTATTGTACTTTCCCCAACTGGGTGTAAAATAGTAAAATAGCATTCGAAAGCTATAAAGCACACTTTCCCCCCCCCCCCCCCCCCCTCACTTTTGTTTTCGCGAGTTTAACAGCAAACAAGTCATGGGATCAAACACGCACTGTTTACAAAGTGCGGTAGTGATGCATCGGTGCGAACTGCAGACAAACTGTATTTTAATTTAAGTCAACGCTGTAACCACGGGCTGTTTTTTAATTTGTTTATTTGCGCTGCCCGCCTGAAAGAGATTGTGAAGGGAGACATGGACGTGGCTCCGTGAGGTCCACAGTGGACCTGCAGCGGCGGATCCACGGTGAAAGGACTGATTCCCGGTCCTGCACGGGGATCCGCAGCATATGGGCCGCGGTGTGTCAACTTCATGGATATTTTTTGCTAGTATGGGTTTTATTATCCTGTTAGCTCTAGTTAGCTCCGTTAGTGGCGAAGGAGATGGCTATGCTAAATGCTAAATACACTGGGGACTTACAATCACTATAGAGATATCTCAAGTGACGTCACAATGCCTCGAACTCGCGGGGCATCCGCCATACTGGAGGACAAGCAAACGCTGTATGATAGTGGCGTGCACCCGGGACCGCATAAACATGTTCAAAATTTTTGCCGTTTTTGGTTGCAGCAAAAGGAGAGACAGGGAAAATAAGTTGTGTTACCGACTGCCAGCCGTCCTTACTTCACACGGCTCAAAAACAGAAGACATCTCAAAGAAACGAGAGAGAAATGACACAACCATACGCAACAACAAAAAACTAATAGCCACCAGAGCGCCCGAATATGCTCGGATCATTTCATTTCTGCTAAGTGAAATCAATTTGATGGCGGATTTAGTGTTATTCCGAAACAAACAGAAGTTTAAGGATAAAACATATCTGTCTGACTGCAACGTGGGGTTGCTCCATAGACTGTAGCTTAGCTTGTAGCATAGCTGTTATATATTTGGTCTCACACAGGACCTCACCCGGTTCACAGGGTGTCTGACTTACCGAAGGCCAGCAGACATGTGAACGACTGAGCCGTGCTCCAGGGTGCCCCGTACTAGTATTTATTAATAAAATATACGGCTCCTCACAGTAGACGCAGAAAGCTCCATTGATTTGAATGTAATCTCATTATTTCCACTGCAGTGTAGCCACACATAGATCCATGGTGTAACAATAAACACATTAAATGTTAATCGGAGAATAAATTATACATATACATTCTTAATACACGTGCACAGAGGTTTTCAGAATTTTCTGTTCACGTTTTCATGAAAAAACACTGTTTTAATGCGACAATATGCGGCCGCTGTAAACCTGGATGTAACGATAAACATTAAGAATACATTTTAGGATGCATTTTCAGAGGATCTGATTCATGAATTTAGGTTGAGTATATATATTTGGGTCACTAACTGCTGAAGTTTCAAATTCTCTGTTCAGTTGTCATGTAGTTCGAGAGAGTTCTAGTTTTGAACGTCCAGTTATAGATAGCTAGCAGGGCTGTTACTCGCCGAGGTTGTCCTCCAGTATGGCTGCCGTGGCTGCTAGTCACGTGACCGTAGGATCCCTCTATTGATTGAGTACATTTTGTGTGGATTGTTGTTGAGCCTGGTGTATTTATATTTTCTCTCCAGGTTGCCATCTGTGAGGTGGTAACTGCTGTGCCCTAAAACTCCATCCTAAAGGTAAATTATTATTTTTGGCTTTTGCTGTATTTTCTCTTTCTAATCTTCTTATTTGATCTCTCAGGTTGTGAATGTGGAGTTGTAAGCTCTGTTCTGAAAGTATATATCTGCAAGGTACTAGCACGTGAATGCATCCTTGATGATCTTCCTGAATGAGAATCCTCAAAACCTCATCAAAGAGTATATGGTAAGTTACACTGAAATCAGTTATACAGGTGTATACAGATGTAAACATGCCAAGATGACTCAATCAGCTGTAATCGCTACAACCAACTGTAGTGTATGGGTGGTACTATTTCTTTTGGCGGACTGATACATTGTATTGGTCCCATGTCATGTGTATGCGCACTGTTACCTCAGGTTGTCATGGTAACCTTGTAGCGTCAGTTACCGGTAAGTAAGTAAGTAAGTAAGTAATCTTTATTTATATACCGCCTTTCACAGACCAGAGTCACAAAGCGGTTTACAATTGTTATTATTTTTTGGGCATTTGTCTCTCACTCCACACAGAGATGGGAGCGGGGTCGCCAGTACAGGAGGCGCATGCCAGACCTATTGTACATGTTTTTAGTGGTAATTCTTCAGTAAACTAACGTTCAAGCTGAAACCCATCTCCGAGTCTTCTTCCATGTTCATTTCATACTATGTTGTATAAAAGACACAACAAATTGGCGACGAGAAATACGGACCCGAAACAACAACCGGAGGTGACAAGTTAACCGGAGAGGGAAGAACGAGACGTTAGGGAGGAAAGTGACTGACAGCTGGCATAACACGCGTGAGTAAGGGACGTGTAAAAGCACACAGCAAGTGAATCTTCCCAAAAGCTAAACAAGTGGATCTGTCTGCGACAAGATTTAAAGACTAAAAATGGC